TGAATATAGAAAATGTGGGAAAGGAAACCTGTGACAATACATGTAACACAACAGGTGTTATTTGCATTATAAAAATAAAAAGACTATACATTTTCTTGGAAACCTTACATGTATATGTTTCCTGAGGCATAAGCACAAGTGTAGTTAGGCACTGAAGCACCTCTGAATGCTTTTTGTTCAGTAAGAAAGCTTTAAGTCTAATAGTTATCCTGATGATCTGGCTGATACCTCAGCAGGGTTGCTGTTGCATGATTGTGTGTCTCTGCACTGGCTGCTCTGAGGGGCAGGCTGCCTCTGCATGTAGCTCTTCATGCCCTGCAGGCCTTTTCCCTGCAGCACTTTCTGAGCAGCAGCCTGGAAACTGCACATAACAGCAGCCCCACGGTCAAACCAAGTCTTTACAGACTTGCATTCACCTGAAATGGAAAGCAAAGGCGATTGGAAAAGAGGGAGGGAGGCAGAGAGAGGGGGAGAGAGAGAGAGAGAGTATTGTAAATAAATATTTTAAAATAAAACGTGAAAGGTAAGTAAAGGAAAAAGAAAATGGAATTATTAAATGAAAATAGAGAAGTTACACTATTAAAAAAAATGTGTTCATGAATAGAAAATGTATGTATAGCCAATAATAAATAACAAATAATTTCAAAGTTTATTAGTATTTACCCAATGCTAGTGAAGAGTCAGATAAAATGGGGTACAGCGCAGCCCACAAAACAACATCAGCAACTGAAACAGCTTCCTGAAACACAGCACAGTTTAATGAACATTATTTTTTTAAAGCAATTAACACGCAATATATCTTGCTATGTGTCCTTTACTGTCAACTAACCTAAAGGTTAAATGCTTATCGTTTTGAAAACGCTAAACAATGCAGACCGGACCCCCAGTGCAATTTCTGCATACAGAACAACCATAAGAAAGACTATTTAAAACCTGGACTATATGTATCACTGTGTGTGAAAACCACAATCTCTGTTAAGCTAGACACAGTGTTCCTCCCAGTCATGTCAATCACCAAGAGACTTAACAAAACACATTTCTGTACACATGAAATATATGACAGACTCAGATGACTTGTTGCCACGGGGGCTGCAAATAGCACAGAGACAGACATCCCCCCCCAAAATCCACCCACCCACACTCAGGCACATCTGCAACATAAGGGACCTCATCCCCAGATAAATTGTTTTAACTTAAAAATGCATCACTAGCTCAACATCAGCAGCTGAAAAAGAAAAAAAACAAGAAATGTTGCCCGAGGAGCCTGATCTGGCACAGCGGAGACGCTCAGTTAAGCTCAGCTGAGCTTCCAGAGAGGCACCATGAACTTTTGACTTGATCATATATCATCAAGTGTGTTTGTCTTTATCTTCTAAATGTGTTTATACTATACATGGCAACTAAATGGGTATTGGAAAAAAGCAAGTGCGGTAGCGACTAAGAAGAGATGCAAATACTGTACCCCAGTTAAATATGGCGTGTTCCCCTTGCTCAAGCTTTGGTCCAAGTAGTTTAGGGGCCCCTGGAGGACCTTGGACACCTCTGATCCCTTTCCCTGTAGCACTGCCATGTGAAGGGCCTGTAGCAGTGCAGGCTGCACAAATAAGACAAAACAGAAATGAATTAGAATTAACTGAATGACATTTGAGCATGACAGAGGTTAAACAGTTCATTTCCTTCCTGTTGCTACAGGGCATGCACATAGATTTGTTCAGGTTTAGTGTTTTGTACAATACATGACCAGCAAAATGTGTTTTTATATTGTGCTTACCTGAAGATCTGTGGCTTCCCATTCAAGCCACTGATTGCAACGTTCACTGGAGTCTTTTCCACTTACTTCAAATAGGTATCTAATATGTCAAAAGGTGAGAAACAGAAGGAAGTCAAATAGCTCACTTGCTTTCAAAAGAAATTTCCTCTGATGTGCCAAACAAACATACCTAAAAAAAAATTAGCCTCAAAATTGTACTGTAATGTAATCATTGTCAAACAAAAGCATTAACATTTTACTCACCTGTTTTATTTTGTAAGATATCTATCTGAGAAATGTCTGCTGCCATCCCAATACAATTAAGAAAACCTGAAGTTACAGCCAAAGCTATTGGCATGACTACATACTGAGATATGTGAAAATACATTTCTGTTGCTCAAAGGGCTCTTTAGGATTTTGAATATCTGACAAGTTACTTAGAGGCAGTGATTAATAGCCTCCACATCCATGCCAACCTGGCATTGGCATTCATAAACGACCAAGCAGGACTATGATGTACTGACCGGCAGATGGCATTGGAGCTGAAAAGGTGCAGTCCACTAGGCAGGAGCAGGGCTGGCAAGGTTGGACGGCTAAGGAAGGGCACCACTCTCTCTGGTTAAAATCAAAAATGTTTGTTAGCAGACAATATTGTTATGCAGATGAGTTTGTTTCTATGAGTGGTAGGACTAGATTCTTCAGCTGGTTGAACATGTTTCAGACTATAAAACCTCCTTCTAATCTTTAGAGAGAGAGAGAGAGAGAGAGAGAGAGAGAGAGAGAGAGAGAGAGAGAGAGAGAGAGAGAAGAAATCTGTTGGATCAAATTCATTTCAACACGTCCTGGGCAGAGATTATATGAGAGTTAAATATATGAGTATATGGAGAACTAATAACACAAGAATCATCAAATGCATCAAGGATAATCCTGTGATCAAATTCTCAGCCTCAATACTTATCAGTTAAGTTACTAGAATGGTTTATGAAGAACGTAAAGGTCACATGGAAGGTCAAGGATCTGATCTTCTTAATCTGTAATTTATCAGAACTCAGAGCAGATGAGGGGATTCTGGTAACACATTATTACTGATGTCTTGACTTGGACAATATAATTTGATAAGATTCAATCCAGCAGGAGTAACATTAACAATGATTATTATTGTAACTTTAATAAATGTTCAATATTTTAGACTTTGTAATGAATCAATTGATAGATAACAAAACCATTACATACTACATATGATACAGTATACTTCAACACGACTAATGCTGTTTATATTCAGTCCACTTCATTCATACACTGTGGCTGCATCACAGGTGGCCCTGATTATCCATCTCTGTGGTCCAAATCCCTAGCAGGACTAGCACACATCTGGGACTAGGAGTGAGGCCGCTCTCACATGTCTGAAACAACCAGACCATACGCCCGAAGCTGGGCTATATTACCGTTTAATTAGAATCTGATTCCTTTGCAACCCAGGGGTATTTGAAGGGGTTACGGGGGGGGGATGTTTTAATTTCACTATCATTTCACTGTCAATTTAGCCCAATGAGAGAATCTATATGACTAATTTAATCACAGGTTTCACACTTGTCACTGTTAATCTGCCAATCTATAGTGTAGACAGTTATGGTATAACTAAATCTTATCAGACAGGGTTCCCTGAGACTACATCTTATCAAATATGGGTCTGTCAGTATATACTATCAATGGTCTGTGGCCTGATATGGATCAATTGGGGGTCCTTGACAACAAAAAGGTTGAGAACCACCAATACTACCATGTCAAGCTCATTGTGGACCACTTGTATTAAAACAGCCTATCCTGACCACTAATTGCCCCTGATCCTGAGGAGGGATGAGTTGTTTGGCTGAAATTAATATAGATCAAAATACAGACAGACTTGTGTCACTGTCAATACACGTAACAGAAGAGATTAGTATAATTCAAACCTGGATGGTGGCCATGTTGGCCTCCTCTCCTCTCCTCTCCTCTCTCTCTCTCTCTCTCTCTCTCTCTCTCTCTCTCTCTCTGTGTGTGTGTGTCAATAAGCCAGCCCTGTTCAAATAAGTTTTCATCTATCTTTTTTTAGTAGGTGCAGCCTGACACCAGTAACAGAAGCTTTCCCCAAACACTGACAATGACTTTTTGAAAAATACGGTATAACAAGATAAGATATTTGATTGTGTCTCTAATACAGCTTTCCAATCCAATCCCAGACTGATACAGGCTTTAAAGTAGTAATGTTAGACATTAGAGAGGTTTACTGTACTGACACCTGAAGCTACACACTGCTACACAAAGGCTACACAAACGAACAGTACTGAAACAAGACAAACAAAGCAGTGATGTGCGGTAAGAGAGATTTCTAGCTGCTTCTCAGACCCAGATGGACTGTTCTCTCCATTCATCAGTGACTGACGGTTGTGGCTGTGTAATATCCAGCTAGCTGTAGTCAGTCCTGTTGAAGTGAGAGCAGCCTGTCAGTGTCAGTCAGTAAACGTTACACCACAAACTGTAACTCCACAAAACCACACGTACATAAATGACGAGCCCCAGCTGTTGAAAGTCCCCGGTAAAGGTAGACTCACAGACTAATGTGTAAGCTGACCATGCTTTTCTTACCTTCGTGGTTGACATACTGAACGTCGCACTGAACCCCAGTCACTCCTAACGCAGCTAACACCTTCAGGCAATGCGGGTTGCCTTCACTTACGAAGAGCTTCATCTGGCCGTTGGTAGCTACTCCGACTGGCTTTAACGGTAAATGTATATTTATATATGTTGTTGTTGTTGTTTTTTTTACTTTAAAACAAGAGAAGAAACCCAGCTGCTGATATAAACTTTGCCAGTGAGTGCCGTCCACACGCTGATGCAAGCGGTATCCCTTTTACAAATGGCGGACGTGTAGTTTTGACGCGGCGTCTGCGTCGTTCACAGTAACGGTAGCCGTCCGTCGAATGGACTACATCTCCCGGGAACTATCTCCCACAGCGTAACGTTCGACGTCCACAAGGGTTTGCTTGTTTTTGTTTCCACCGTAGCACCGCCGGGCGGGATACGTCTCTCGCTGTGTACACCAGGCACCAGGGGACGTCCTGTGAGTACAGCCGCGCACCACAGCGCCGGTTGTTCAGTGATCTCATTGGCTCTGTGGAAAAGTAAATCGGGCGGTGGTAGCCAATCTTAAACCAGCAAAACCACACTGCGAAAGGTTTTTTTTTTTTTTTTTTTTTTTTAACATCCACTTAAAGCGGCAGGAGGCTGTATCTTCACGGGTTGCAACTTAGTGATCACGTATGACTGTAATTTGCAAAAGTGCACGGCGGAGTTCTTCTGTGTGCTTCCGTTATCTGAATTATGTGAAGTCATCAATATTTTTTTATTCTTTTCCACGAGATTAGACGCAACTCCTTGCTATCTCTCTCTCTCTCTCCTCTCTCTCTCTCTCTCTCTCTCTTTGCAGTTCACCCCCAAAAACACAACTGAGCTGTCATCACGTCGCTGTGAGGTGAGTGATGTTGTGTCCCACGAATGCAAAGATGTGATTGTTGCTTAATTGTTTAGTCAGAAATCTTATTTTTCTGCTGTGGGATATTTCTTCATTGTAGGAATATGTGTTGAAATGTATGTACGCGTTTCTGTTCATCGGCTTTTTTTTTTGATCTGCTGTTGTATTATTAAATCTAAAACGTCGCACACTGGATTATGAGCTAGATTTTACTTTTACAAGTTGTTAGGTAATATTCTTGTATCACCTGCCACGTGTGACTTCAGGTTTAAACATCTCTTTTTTTTTCTCACGCAAACTTATTCTCACTCATACTCATTCATTGTAAGGACAGAAGTCAGTGTGACTAAGATTATTTTATGGCTTTAATGGCCTTTTTACTTAATTATCACCATTTTGTACCTTTATGGATGTTAGTTTAGCTTTATTTTGAAAAATACATTTTGGACTAATTTATTTTAAAGCCGACTGACTCACTAGATAAATTACAATAGACTTCTGTACATCTACTGTACAGTTTGTGCACAAAAAAGTTGTAGACCAGTTCTGCAACTCTAATATTTAGCAGGTCCCGCTTCCAAAAATAGGCCATACATGTTACTAAAATACATTTACTAAAATAACCTGTCTACTTTTTCCAAAACAACTCATTTTTCCATATCATAGTCTTAAACCACATGTTGTTTTACACTGGCAGAACTGCTGAACCACAGAGGGCCAACTTTTCCTGTTGAGCCCCTCCCCATACACACACAGGCGCCCACACACACATGCACGCACACTTTCTTTTACTTTTTTCTTTAAATTTCTGTACACCTCATACATTCCTACATATGTCATCCCTACAAAGGTGCTGACTCCATGACCCCAATTTTTGGACATCTCTATTTCCCGGTCACTAAATGTCACACCGATAAGAATTGCTAATCTCAACACTTTACATATGACAAACCTCTTTTCATGTGGAAATATTTGCATGCTGCTGCGAGCATGTTTTAGCCCTTACATGCTTCACAGAAAGTATATGGACGGGTTAACCACAGGGTGCAATGGAAACAGTGTGACTGACGCATTGCATTTTTGCTGTTTTATAATCTTTCTTAAGTCCATGCAAAGCAGGAGATTTGCTCCCCTTTTCGCCAGCCTGTGACGACACGGGCCTAAAAGATTATTCTCCAGTTGCAACACTGACTGATTAAAAGTGCCTTGTACCATGTGCAGTATTAGCAAGGGGGTTACAAGTCCAGTGTAATTGCTAGTGTGCCTCACTGTTGTGTCAAAGACAGATTGAGAGACTGAAGTGTTTTAGATGGGGTTTTTTTCTTTACTAGACAGATTATTTTGCTTCTTTGGGATATTTGAGCAAGTCTGTGGTTTTTTTCTCAAAGTGTGAGATGTTGGTCTGCTTGCATGGCTTCTATCAACTGTGAAGCAAAATTATACAATAGGAAAACACAAAGTCCACTAAAACCTCATCTGCTTTGTACTGTATGTACAAGGTGACAGCCACAACACAACTGTGTCTCTGCATGCAGTCCAGGCCCTTCACAACAGTCCTACAGCTGACATTTGTGTTTGTGGTACTGGTTTGTCTCATCAGATCACATTGGTTTGTTGAAGGTCGTGTAGTTGTGATTGACTTATCATAATTCTAAACCTTCTGTAAATTAAATCTGGTCTTTCTGCTTTCTGGGGTGTCTTAACCTTCTACCCTGTGACCCCAAAATGTCCTGTGACATACCTTCAAGAGCAAGTGGGAGCCTCAAACAGATTATATAAAAATGATGGTATATTTAAAACATCACTACATCAAAAATATCAGTATGTAAGTTTTTTTGCAGTTTAATAGGCTCTGCAATATAAATCCTACTTTCATTAAGTTTATAATAATCCATTTTTGTTGAAGCTATTTTAAAATCGTGATGATTTAAAACTTTCTGGTCATTTCGGAGGCTGCATTTTATAGTGCTGTTTAATTGTACTGGGTTACACTGAGTTGTATATTTATAGTTTGTCCACTCTATTTATAACCCTCACAGTAAATTAAACTGAATGTACATCCTGAGGATCCCAAAATTTTGATGCTAAACTATGGCATCAATGAAGCAGAATCTTGTACAGTAATGTCTAACAACTATGAATTTCTGTGTTGATGGACCAATGTGTTATTATGAATGGATAGTTAAGCAATATGAATGCAGTCAGATGCAGTTATACATACTCTATACTATACTGCATTGTTATATGAAAGCACAACTACTGTACATTACTGTAGCTCCACCTACATTCACATCTGTGCTCTGTTTTAATCCAGTTTAATCCTGCATTTACTCTCAGTATCTATGCAATGATTTGTGCTTTCACTAGCTTGTATTATGCATACTGTAAGTACAGCACTACGAACAACAGAACTCGATGAAACAACACTCATATTTGATATGTGGACGTGCTGTTTCATACACTGTGACAAAATGAAACAAAGAGATGAAAGGATTATGCAATTACATAATTAATTGATCGAAAGAACCACTAGTGACTATTTCGATAATCGATTTTGATAATTTCCAATCATAGAAGTAGGGAAAAATGCTGCACATTCTCTGTTTTTAGCTCCTCAGATGGGACTATTTGTCTCTTTTCTTTATCATATATGTATACTGGATATCTTTGGGTTTTGGAGACATTTGAAGACACCACTTTTGGCTCTCTTGATGGACATTCTTTCCCTGTTTTTGACATTTTAGAGACTAAGCATGTAGTCTAATAATGAAACTAATCAGCCCCAGTCTGCCTAAACATTTCCTGTTAATAAAATGGAAAGTTGTTCTTAGACAGTTGCACCAAACACACCTGAAGGCTGCATGGGTAAACACTCCTCTAATGTCTGACACATCCTAACCCCTTGTTATTTGTGTAATATTTCTTTATTGAACAAATAACCCCTTTAACCCTGTGAAGGCACCAAAGCAGTGTCTGCGTGTGTGCCTCTTCACTGTAGCATTTGCCTTGGGAGGTTTAGCTGCTCTTCCTTGTGCCCCAACAGTATCGTGCTCACTTCAGCTGCACAGGGCTGAAAGTGGGTCTTTGACTTGCCTGATAGCTTTTGACAGCTCACTCTCATCCCTGGTGGATCAATGGAGCTCAGCGCTCTTCATTAGAAACATCAATGTACCGCACATTCCCACAGGCTCAGCAACAACCCATGAGCCCCGTCAGAGAGTGAAGGTTTATTTTGTTACTCTCTAAAGATCATTCTTGACTTCTCTGTGACATTTCATTTTCTTCAATTGAAGAATATTGTGGGAATGTGGTGAAAGATGAATTGATACTTTATGAACTTTAGCAGCGATATTCACAACGTTGCCCCGTTCACCTGTGTGAATAAAATATGATTATTTTTGTTTATATCACATAGAATAACAAATAATTCTAACATTTCTTATTCTGTTTGACTGCTGCTGACGGAAATCAATACAAAAATCAAATCTTGGCACTTTTAGTCTGATTTTCAGTCTTGAAATAGTCTTTAACAAGGAAATAAATCAATGTAGTTGGACAGCTCTACAGTGTTACAGTTCTTCGATTTTCGATTATCAGTGAATCTTATAAGTAATGTTTTTCACCATTCACCTGTTCCAACTTCTAAAATGTTTTTTCATCATTGTAAATGTAATATTTTTAGGCTTAGGACCATTTATTGGCATAGAACAGCCCCCGTTCTTGTGTTGTAATATTAATAAATTCACCAGGAGCAAAATCATGTCATTGAATGGTCTGATATATACCTCAATGCTATGGTGATAATAATTTTATGCTGTATTTCTAATACATAAGAAAAGCTGCTTATTGAAATAAGAAGCATTTTTTACAAGCGTATTCCTCTTGCTGAAATAAGCTTATTGTGATTTAACTAGAAGCAGCTGTGTATTTTTCTTTTTCCATTTTTTCCATAACATGCATAGGCTAATTAAAAATGTGACGCTTCAATTAATTATTTCAAGAGTTTAAAATGGCCCCTGAGCAATCCTGCACTACTTTGCCTAACTGGGAAACACTGGTCTGTCTGGTTGTTGTTTATATTGAAATGGGGGAAATGAGAACTTGAATATTCTACAAGCAAACTCTCTGAAGAAGTTTGCTATGTGTCGATGAAGGCTGCAGGGTTCATTGTAAACACAAGTATTGCGTCAGCAAATGCTTGAAATGATGGCATCACACATACGAAATGGTGTTGTGTGCAACAAGAAACAAATAGCACACATACTGGAGACACTGGAGATGGTAGTTGGTCACAGAGGTTGTTGTCATGATGATAGTAGAGAGTGTGAGCCAATGGCTGCTTTACTGTCATCATCTGCTTTTTGATTGGTTCTCTGACAATTTACACAACTAATGACTGAAAGGATCCAGCCCACCTGTTTAGTCACATACACTCACACACACTTAGGCACACACAGATGTGCATCCATACACGCGTTCACACAGGCAGGCAGTCTTCACACTGGGATACACAGTGTGTGTTTCAGTGTCTCTCTCTGGTCTGATCATCAATAATGCATGGCTTTGGGAGGATGAAAGGCTGTTTTGGCTTGAGGCATGTGTTTCATATGGAGAGAGAGACATCAGCACTAGTAGTTTTAACTGTACATCCATAGACAAATTCACTACTCCTTCACATGGCTGTCCTGCTCTTGAGAGTGAGAGTGGACTGATTTCAGGCTAAATGTTAACTTTGATTATTTTATTAATATATATCAGGAAAGTGATTTCTTTCCTTATTTAAGAAAATGGAGTGTATTGTATGTTTCATTTCACTTGACTTTTGGTGCAGCTGCGTTCACACTGAAGCTGTTTATTTCTAATTTCTAAAAGTAAGCATTATCAAATGTTAAAGGTCTAAGATCTCACTACATCTGTTTCAGATATAGTTTAGATAAAGTCTTGTAATTTTGATTTAGCATTGATTTTAGGAACATTTCAAGGCACTTCTGTGCTTATTCTAAGATATACTGCTGTGTTAAAACTCCTTTTACCCATAAAGTATGATGTGGATACATGATGCAATACTTCAGCTTACACAGCCTTACCTGACTTCAAGTTGGGACTCAAACAGCCAGTTAGCAGACAAACCATTGGATACTAGTTTGCAATAGAGACAATAGCGATCATGCACAGGCAGCATGGCTCATGTCACTGTGAAGAAATAATTACAGCTGTTACGATGACACAGATATTAAATTATCAGTCCTGTTAACTTTAGTGTCACACTTTTTACTTGTTTTCTTGATGATTAAAGTTACTGAACAGTATGTATCAAGTAGAGCAACTTGTTCTTTCTCATTTTCCTATGAACCCTTTGGTTATAGACATTCATATGTAAATACAGTACAGTCTACGGTGTGTGTGTGTGTGTGTGTGTGTGTGTGTGTGTGTGCGCGCACGTTTGCTATGTGTACACGGATGTGGGAGTGCACGCAAAAACCCTTTGAAGTTCCTCATTCACACTATACTCCTCTTCCCCATGTCTCATCTCTCTTTGAAGACCATGTAGCCATGATTATTAAAGCCGCCCTCTTTCGACTTCAAACGTATGGAATGAATATGGATATGATATGACACCAAACCGTCCACCAACACCCTTCACTCTACTCTCGTCCTGCTGTGTGGTGAAGTTTGATAGGCCCTGCGATCTTAAACCTTCTCTGTGGGAGCTGAACTTGGCAGTTAGTGGCTTGTCTTGCAACATTGCAACTTCTTCTTAATTTATCAATAAAGCTTCTTAGGTGCTTTGTAGCCAGATTTCTAATTGCTTTCAAACACTATCTTCTTGTCTCATCCCTCCACTATATCATTGTACATCGCACCATACATTGTCATTTGCATCCATCCTCTCACAGTCTCTCGCCCTGCCCTCCAGCCTCAGGGTGTTTTCAAGGGAGTCATGATAACATTATCTTCAGGTGGTTTTGCATGCATGCCTTTGCCCGTAAGCGCTACTACTTTAGCACTACGGCTTTATCCAAAGTGCACCATACGTTTTCATACCTCCCTGAGATCTCAGTGTGACCTGTAAATAACACCAACAAAGACAAAGAGGGATTATGCACTTTCATCACATTTTTGACCATAGCACGTTGATAACATTCCAACAGCTTATTGATATATATTAGCTTGAGAAACAACAATACTTACAATACAGCCAGTTAAAACATTCACCCAAGGCTAGAATAGATATCTCTAGCACACGCCTGGAACAACCACCACTATTCCTTGTGTGGTATACTCTGTGCTCTAGCTATACTCAACATATGTTCAACACAAATCATAATACCCATATGTGTAGCCCTAATTTTCACTAAACAGACAATACTAAGATGACAGATATCAGTGGAGCAACAAAACAAAACAAAAAAAACACTCTGTGCTAAATGAACTGCACTTACATAGCACCTTTTAGGTCTTCCGACCACTCAGAGTGCTTTATGTGACATTCACACATACACTGATGTCAGAGGTGCATGCAAGGTGCCAACTGTAGATCCTGTATCTTCCAGTGATAGAAAATAATGGACGCATTTTAAGAATTTTTAACCAAAGAAGAAACCAAACGTTTTTTTATCAGACACAAGTCACTATTCAAAAGCATGGATAGGTTTGCTTTGCTTTGCTTTTAAGCAACTAAATGTTCACTATGGTGGATTATCAATCTCAAACAAGCTTTAGGTAAATTTTGTGGCAAGAACTGAAATCCAAGAAGTAGGGAAGTAAATCTAAAAATTAATGTATGCTTTGGAAAATGGTTGACTAAAACATGCCAACCCACTAGGGGGTCTATAATCTCTGAAGTATTTAATCCAATGGCCCTTCAGGATTGTTGATTTGACTCAAAATGTAAAATGCGGGTGGTGTCTTTCTAGAATGTGAAATATTTTATATCAAATATTATATTCAATTATTAAATTAAACATAATGTCCTCTGCTCCATTGCTAACATCCATTTGGTGGACGTGCTTAACTGTGTGGTGGATCCCTGATGTCCAGTGGAACTGTTGACCAGTCGGCTCTGTGTATCTGTGTATGGATCAATAGCTCAATCAATAAAACTGGGCTTCTGTGGCTTTGTTTGGTTAGCACACAGCTCCTCTCTCGATGTGTGTCTCTCCCTCTCTCTCTCTCTCTATGTTTCTCTTTCTCAAGTTCAAATATGGTTTATTTGCATGAATGGGTAATAGCCAGCTGATGCTCTCTCTGTCACTTGCTCTTTTTTTATCTCCCAGGCAAAATGCTGGCTAAATGGGGGAAGGTAGGGTCAGGAGGGCTTCAACGAGTGGAGGCAGGATAATTTTGCTGCATAGGATTAACTCTGTGTATGTGTGTTTGGTTGTATATGTGTGTGTGTGCATGAGATAGATGCAGGAGGAAGCTGTTAGCTTGTGTCAATTTTAGTGGTTTTCTGCCCCACCTTTTACACAAGCCCTCTGTTTGGTCTCTAATCTTTGTCAGGCCAGAAAGGCTTGACTCTTCGGTTTGGGCTGGGGGGCAGTTGTTTATTACAGTTTAATAATTTTTTTCATGTATATTTTTTGTTTACAAGGTTTATCTGTGGGGTTGCATGAATGGAGAGCAGAGTGAGCTGGTGACCTTGTTGACATAGAGACACTCTCACTTCAGGACCATGGTGAGTCGCCCTTTTCTCTCTTTCTCTCTGTCTCTCTCGCGTGCATGCACAAATTGTGTACTCTTCATTTCTTCAGCTCAGTCTGACTTGCATGCACACACAGTCTGAGCTGGAGTGAAAGCACTCAAGCAAAGGCAGACAGACAAATAATATGTAGCACTCAATCCGAGTTTTTTCCTCTGCCCTTTTTCCGACTTTTCATTGTTCCCTCTGTGTTTTCTCCTTCATCTCTCCATTTCTGTTGTTGATACCAAGACATACGCCCTGTGCCCTCAGCCCCTGGCACAAACTATCATTGCCTCTCAACAGCCCTGACAGGGTGCCTGTGTCTGTCTCTGACACCATATGGACCTCTCTGTATGTTTGGGACGCCAGTGTCCTCTCCACTGCCATCTGACCTGCAAATAGAAACACAGTCTGGTCTCATCTTCCCTTTTGTAGATCCTAATTTGTGATGATCGCCAATTTGTTATTTTAAAATTCAAGTTTACTCTCTGTAGTATAATAATGCTTTTAGTTCCTTAGCTTTTTCTGTTGTATATACTTAAATATCATGCGGTAAGAACGGCCAACCCCATTCCTGACTTATCTCATCACCTTTTTCTAAACTCTGAGTATTTTAACCCTGCTGTAACCACCCAATTTGCACATGACACAATTAAACCTCCTGTACCTGTGCTGCTGAGTGAACTGATGATACACACCACTTCAGTTTCTAACGTCAGCCCTAATTCAACAAATGTTGGGTTAGATAAAGCCCCACAGTAGTTGGGTACCATTCATTTATTCTGCATTATTCTGTTTTCTCTCCTTTCTTTTTAATAGCCACTTGTTTTGAGCAGTAAAGAGAGACAGGAAAAGACAAACAGGTGTGCTGCAGTATCAGAAGATCTCTTCCTGTGTGTGCAGGCAGAAGAACTCATGATAAAAATTGTGGACGGGTTGTATGAATAGGTGCTGCTGTATGCTTTTGCCTTTCTTTAAACCCAGGGAATGATGTAATTCTTTCCTGTCCATCTAAATAGTAAATTACACATTACTGAAGCCATGCAGCAGGACTGTCAAGCCAAAAACAACTACTACTCTCTGTTTCAGTGCTCAGCTTGGCAGTGATTAATGCTACTTACAGAGTTGCACAGTTTCAGATGGGGCAACAGGGCAACTCTGCATCACTTAGTGTATTTAAGTGTTGGTGAATGCAGCACAACAGACTATGAATTGTCAGCTAAACTGCACGTATCTTAATGTTTTACGCCAGAAAAACAAATGACGGGATAGAGAGGATATGACCCAAACTGTGGTTCAACCTTGATGTGTCTATACAGTTTCCTGTTTGCTTGCTCGCCTTGTACCTATGTCTTCTGTCTCTGTCTGCAAGTGAGTAGGGGCCTTTCGAAAATGAAGAAGTGGCTTGCTGCACACAAACATACTCTGAGCTAAGGACCAACTTAAAATTGTTAGGGGTCATGGTTCCTTTTTGTGTGTATTTTTTTTTAATTCATTGGATATTTGTCCTCCATATCTGTAAAATCAAATATTTGGTAAAACATAAAATATTTGATGTACAAGTTTATTTATGTGTTTTTTAACCTCACAACCTATCCACTAGTGTAACATGAATGAAGAAACCTCAGCAGATGTCAGTCTAGTCTACCATATTTATGCACTCCTAATGTGGTAATGGTATTTTTTCTGTATCTTGGAAATGCTCATCTGTGAGCTTCCTGCCAGCTAGCTAGCCAGGCAGGCAGTCCCTCTGCCCATGTGCTGGTACAGAGGGCTTTAATAACAGTGGGATTATCAAGGTTCAGCCAGCTAACCCTGTCCTCACTTTTATCGCCTTCACATGGCTCACAGTTCCATCTAGCTTCATCCATTCCTTCATGTCTCAGTTTCTATATGTTTTCATATTTCCTATCTACTATCTGCTCTTTTTCCACTCTTTTTTGGTCTATCCCTTTTTTTCTTCTTTTATTTGTCTTGTCCATCTACAGTTTCTAATTCCTTTCTCCCATCCTGTATCCCAGCCCCTCTGGATCCTCCCCAATAACATGCATGTCTCTGTTAATTTTCTGGGATCTCTCTCATTTGCTGCCTCTCCTCTTCTCACCCAGACTGAGATGGGTTGGGCCTGACTGTGACTGAAGCACTGTTGCTAGGTGCCTAGGGATGCTCCCCTTTCTGTGTGTGTGTGTGTGTGTGTGTGTGTGTGTGTGTGTGTGTGGAGGTGGGTGGGTGGGTGCATGTGCTATGTGAGGCTGTATTGCTATGTGTCTGGCAGAAAGTTAGATGTTCTCTTATGTAAGCAGGTCTTGGCTGGGTAGAGCAGGGGTTTAGCTTGGGGATGCTGGCTCAGGTGGAGAGACGGAGACGGATGCTATTTTGGGTATACTGCGCTCCTTACATCCTCCGAACGCATGAGTTATTCACTCACACGTGTCTTTTAGTTCTACCAGGATGAAAGGACAATAGGAAAGTGGTGTACTGTGGTGGTGTGCAGATATTTGTAGTGACATTTGATCCTCATCCATGTCTGTCAAGTATATTAAAAATGGAAGTGGAATTTATTTTTTGTAATGTTAGTCATTTATACCTAAAATAGTCGGTTACTTCTATCTTCTGCAAAAAATTGATTTTGATTTTGCCAATTGTTTTGTTTGTTTGTTTTTATTTTTATATGAATATAAGAATAATGTTACATTTGAGAATTTGCTGTTTTATATTGGTGTAAATGTAATGTCTTTTAGCATTTGAATTCATAGACTCACTAAATGATGAATCAGCTGGTGAAAAATGAATGGAGAGGTTAATCAATAATGAAAATAATTGTTGCAGACCATATACAAATGAAGGGACTCTTGCTCTTAGAACCTTGTACAAAGAGGGGACATGGAAACAAAACAGTCATTATATCATGTCATTATATAATTATTACACTGTGGTACCGCTTACAGCCTTCCACAAACAGGGTTGATTTCTTTGTGTGTTATTCGCATTAGCTGCAACTAAAGATGATTTATTATTGATTCATGTGAAAATTATTTTCTCGATTTATTGATCAAAGCAAAAGTTTGACAAAGAGACAGTTTGCTTTCTGATGGATGGTTAGCGTTAGATAAGAAAACTGATATCACTCGAACATCTCTCCATTGAATAAGAAGCTACAGCAGTTGGTTAGCTTAGCTTAGCTTAGCTTAACACAAAGACTTGGCTCTGAACTGTTATGTAGACTCCAGGAAGTGCCCCAGCCAAAAAACAAAACAAACAACAACAACAACAACAACAGTGAATTGTCTTTTTTTACACATTTGTTTTTCAGATTAAACAAACCAGACTTGTTGATCATTGATCATTAGAGGTGCTGGTAGGTCGAGGTGGGTTTGTCACCTCTGGATAAAGCCAGGCTAGCGGTTTCCCCTGTTTCCAGACTTTGTGCTAAGCTAAGCTAAGCTAACCAGCAGCTTAATGAACATACTGTATATGAGAGTGGTATGTATGAATCTTTCCACCAATCTTTCCAACAGGAATCAAATAAGCTTTAAATTGCTTGGTTTATAATGCAGGACAAAAGTGAAAAATGCCTGTGACAGTTGTTCAGATATCTTGTTTTGTCTGACCAACATTCCAAAGATATTGAGTTCATAATGGTATAAAACATGGAAAAAGGTTGAATATGTTTCTAATGTTTTCTAATGTACATGTCAGATTAACCCAGACTTCCATTTTTAGCACTAAAAGGATTCATGTTCTCTCCCTTTGAACCTGCACACAGCCGGGCTACATGATTTCATTGTTCTCTGACAGCTTCACTAATCTCTCTTCACTAATGTATCTCTCTGTCCATTTGGCCTCTGTTTCAGAGCATGGCACTGGTCTGGCTCCAGTCTCACCTGCCCTGTGCTAACCCAACCGGTATCACGAGTATCAGCCATCAGCACACTTCCAGCCAAGCTTGCTGAACAGGACTGCGCGAAGAGTCATGCTGTCTGGGACCTGGCGGCGTTCTGTGGGGCACCAGCAGTCTGCTGCAGCGCCTGTGGTGGCTTCCAGGGGGGTGACAGTTTGCGGGGTCCCCAGCGGCACGGTGGTCCTCGAGGCCCAGTATGACTACAGCTACCGCGGTGCTGATGGACGGCAGGTCTGCATTAGTGAGGGCGAACGGTTTGTTCTCCTGAAAAAGACCAACACTGATTGGTGGCAGGTGAGAAAAGAGTTAATCTTTTCTTTGTCTTGTGTCAGTGGAACCAAATATTTGAGAAAAACATGGACATCTGCATCATCTACAGGGTTCCATAGACTAAAAGAAAGATCAAAACCAACAACGTGATAGCTGATATTTTATGTGTTTCAACTTCGACCCTGTTTGTGGCTCTCAGCCCATTTGTTCTTACTGTAGATATACATTTTTTAAAACTAGTCAAAAATATATACTTTCAGGGGTGCCTGGTTAGCTCAGTCGGTAGAGCTGGCGACCCATATACGGAGTTGCTGCAGCGGCCCGGGCTCGAATCTGACCTGTGGCCCTTTGCTGCGTGTCATCCCCCTCTCTCCACCCACCCTTCCTGTCTCCCTACAGCTGTCTATCAATAAAACCAACAAAAGGCCAAAAAATAACTTTAAAAAAATATATATATACTTTCAAATTCCTAAAACAGCTGGGCACTAATGTATCAAACATTAGTCAAATTTTTATTTCGTGAAGCTCCTGCCAACAACTAAAAGCCAGTTCCACATTCAATCTTGTCTGGCGGCCTCTTGCTCGGTTAATCTCTTTTCTCTTCTTAGCTCTCTCCGTCAAAGTCCTCTTGGGTCTCTTTAACCTCTGCCATGATGTCCCAAGAGGCTGCTGAGCCAAGTTACCTTACCTGCTTGCCCTGCTCCAATTCTGGTATCCAGTTCGGCGCCACAATCCCTCCTGCCCCAGGCATGAAAACCTCCTCCTCCTGGCAATGCAGAGCTCCTGTGTTACCAATGAAAACACCAACACTCCCCCTGTGCTCTGAGCTGAGCTGAGCGAACTACCTAACAGCAGCTACAGTTTGCAGCAGTTACTTTACTGTCCATCAATAAACTGTAAATAACCAAGAGTTGAGGCGGAGCTGCCGGAGGACATCAGAGGGAAAACCAGAAAATATTTTTTCCATAAATTATGATGCAGTTTCACCAAAATCAGTGACATAGTTGGTGGGATTAACAGAGGCACCATACACCTTACTACAAGTCAGTGTAGCATCAAAGTAATTTTGAGATTGTTATTTTAATTTTTATACCCCACTTCAAGTGAGACATGATTCAAAGATTCAATAGTCATACTGTTTTTGGCTATCCAGTCATTTAAATACTCGATCACATAAATGCAAAAATACAATATTCATAAAGCAGCCCTGAAAAAACACATTAGAAAAAGTGACATTAGCATCGGTGACCATATGGTCTTGTGGTAAAAAAAAAAGTGCTTTGTATTTCAAAAGAATAGTTGTGGGTTTTGTCATTGCATCTGTTTGATGTCTCAGGAACTGCAGCGTAATAAATTTGTTTTGTTTGTTCAGGCCTCAGCTGTGTTGGTTGATGCTTGGTTTAACTAAGTGGATCCACGTGGGAGAAAATAGCAAAAGCATTTGGAAATCCGTTTGTTCTTTGACAGGTGCGGAGGATTGGGGCAGCCAGTAAAACAAAGCCATTGTATGTCCCTGCCACATATGTGACAGAGGTGCCCATTGCACCGATGCCCTCGCCACAGCGCCTTGTCATGTCTGCCTCGCTGAACTCCAACCTCAGGATACTGCCAAGGGTGTCACTCTCTCCCAGCCCATCAGCGACTACCTATAATGAACAGCATCAAGGTAAAGTGTGAGGGGAAGACAGGGAGTCTGAGAAAACGTCTACTGTGTTTTTTTTCAGTGGCAATGACATCTGTTTTATAAGAGTAGAAAAAATAACACAAATTTGTGTGTTGGTGTTTCTCTTGAGTATAGAAGGAAAATAAGCTCAACATTCACTGATCTTGTATAATGAGAATTTATTTTACCTTCCTCTCTCAGTGAACAAACCCATCTATCGCTCCATGGAAAACCTCAACTCCAACAGTGCCTTCCAGGGGCTGGACAACAACACCTGCATGGGTGGAGGCCGCTTCCCCACCCTGCCCCTCTCTGGATTCACCTTTACCCCCAACTCTCCCACCTCCCCATCAGGCCACCTCATGGTCCCTGGGTCCCCCGCATATTCTGCGGGACAAACAGCACCACGGAACACCAGGTCGGTCCCCATGATCACACGGAGCCAAAGCTCCAGCAACTTGCCTGAAAATCTGGTTGAGAACCTGTACGACGAGGTGGGCGGTGGCTTCAGCAGTCGCGTCAACCACAGGATGCCCAAGAAGTCTTGCAGCCAGTGGGATATGGGGGGAGCTTCTGGCAAAAACAACCATCTGAAGGTAGGGAGAGACAAGGCTTAAAAACCTCAAACAGATGTTACTCAAATATCTGGTTTACACAGTAGAGCCACAATGGAGCGTAAAGGGGAATTCCTGTACTGTATTTGTAAACTACATGTTATTCTCATATTTTTGGTTTTGATTTGCACTTTATTACAATTTGAATTTTTTCCAAGGTGGTAAGTAAAAGGTATCGTGACCAGTAATCATAATGGATAAACATATCAGAATAACACCCAGGTGCACAAATACCAGAGTTTCCCTTCAGTTAAACTAAAGTAGGGCATGTTCACATCAATTGTGTTTGAGTAAAGCTTTGGCTAAGTGAGATCAATGCCTTTCACAATTGGGTAGTACAAAATAATCGACAGCAGAAGTCAGACCAAATATCTGCTCACTCTACAGAAATATTGACAGTAGTGATCTTGTTTTGCAACATATCTTGTGCATTTCTCTTGGAACAAAACACAACCTGAGCTTAGGTCACATTTTTGCACAGAAAATGTATTTTGGATTAGTTAACGGAGAGAAAGTACAAGAAAAAGTCAGGGCAACAAAAAAGATTATTCCAGCACTTGTCACCTGATCCTGTAACTGACAACCCGTCAAATCTACTACCACTATTGTCAACAACTCTATATTCAACTGTTACTTCATGCTTTCTCTGATCCTCATTAGTATGAAAAATAGAAAGAATGAATGAAAATCCAAAACAAATCCACCACATTGAAGGAAGTGTGGCATTAGATTAATTTTGACATCTGACACAATCTCTAATCTGATGGAATTATAGGTCAAAACTCCAAAACTGTAACAGACCAGCCGGTCGTTGATGTGGCCTTGAGACTATGCAGGGTAAACCTTAAGAAACCAGTTATAAAAAGGTGAACTTTAGATCTTAACTATTGACATATTTTTGTTAATTCATTAAATCGGAGAATCTTTTTCAGGTGGAAACTAGTAATATGTTTTTATTTAGAAAACGTATTAAAACACAAAAAGATCTTGTGCGATCCCAGCAGACAACCGAGTACAGCCAAGGCAGCAGAGGTTGTATTTTATCTACATCTGTACTTGACCTTAATAATCCTCCGAGAGCAGCAATCAAGTTAGCATTGTCGTGACGTCAGAGCCTCCCTGTATTACATCATAGGGGATTACACAAGGCGCTGTTGTCGGGAGAAATACTGAAGGTTATCTGTCCCTCGGCTCGGGGAAGTTCCCACAGCCGAGTCTCTCCAAAAGGAGTTTTGCTTCCAGTGAACAATGCGTGCACCGTTTACTTTGGATAGCTGTGATCTCAGTGGGAATGACAGTGCTCTTTTTTTTCTATGTCTCTCATTATCTTTCCCCCCCTGTCTTTCTTTGTATCAGTCCCTCTCTCGCTCTCGCTCTCGCTCTCTCTCTCTCGCTCTCTCTGAGGAGCCTCCTTCATTCAAGCCTTTAATACCAGTAAGCAGGATTATTGCAGCCACATTTAGGTCATAACTCCCTGTGTTTCGTCCAGAAAACTCTCTCACCATACATTTTTGTCAGCCACACTGGTGATGAATTTTAATTACATTTAATCTTAGTCCTCCAGGGGGCGAAATTCCATTTGAAAGTTATAAGAGTTTCAATTGTTAAGAGGTTGTTTTTGGCCATACATTACATGGCCTCAAGTCTGTGAACATTATGCCCAGGAGTAATGGCTGAACATCTCATACCAAAACGATGGGCATTGATATTCTGCTACAATAGTTTCCACTCTTCTGAGAAGGTTTTCCACAAGATTTTGGAACCTGGCTGCAGGCATTTGCTTTCATTTAGCCACAAGAGCAGTAGTGACATTGGCCACTGATAATGGCTGATAAAGCCTGACTCACAGTCAAATCTATCCTAAAGGTGCTGCCTGTGTGGTGTTAAAGTCAGTAATCTCTGTAAGCATATGCATATGAATGCTGAATCTGTTGGCAAGGGATAAGATTTTGCTATCTGAAGTGTTCTGGTTTCAGTTTGTAGCCAGAGTAGTATTGACCGATTACAGGCTTTGGTTGCATGCGGGTAAACAGTCCGTGTGGAGAGCAAAAGAGGTGGGCCGAACGCTTGGGCCGAAATGTAATAAGTGGAACCCATCAGCTATTGTCTGACAATTATTTAGCTTTTTATCAGCCCTTTTAAAATGTGTTCATATGAAGATATCTGTTGTTTGTTTGTTTTTTGCCTCTCAAGTTGCTGATCAGACTGTAAACTAGGGCTGTGTAATGGCAAGAATCTGGCAATATAATATGTATCACGATACAGAAGTTACGATTTAATATATTGCCATATATTGTGATACTGTAAGAAAGGCAATATATTGCAACTTTTAAGTACATTTTAGTAAAACTGTCACAGTATAAAGAAGATACCACTTTTTTGATGCAACCAGAACAGTGAGATCTGCACTTGTATTTATCACAGTTGCTGTAATGTCCAACATCATAGACTCAGTTCATGTTTACAACACTGCTATCTAGCTGTTGGGGGTTTAAACACAAAAATCTGTTTTTGGGAATCGATACAATATCACAAAACAAAATATCCTGCACAATATGATATTTTTCGATATCTTCACCAAACTGTTGCCGCAGAGCTAGAATCACACTACTGTCTGTATAATGTGTATAATATCATTGTTTGCTGTAACATTAAGATATCCCTTATTGGAATAAATATCCACATACTTTTGGCCTTATAGTGTATGACTGAGAGAGATGAAACTTAGGGAGAGACAGACAGAGATGAAATGCAATAGAAGTCCCTATAAACTCAAACTGGGAACATTGCGGGTATGTAAATAATAATATGGTTATTATAATAAATAATAACCATAGACCATATTACCATATTACCATAGAAAATTAATGTATAAGCCTGAGCAAAGAACTGAAACACACAAAACACACACACACACACAACACACACACACACACACACACACACACACACACCGCTTCTCCTCCGCGAGGAGAAGGAAACCCCTCCCCCCACGGAAACCAAACCTTTCAAGCACAATGTTAGGAGTTCTCATGTCTAACTACAGTCACACATTTGCACTTTTTGCACAATTTCTTCTCTCACATGTCTCACTTTTCCCAAACATTAAACCAAAAATTTTAGTTAGATATGAGACAAAACACAGTATTACAGTACAGTATATCTAGATCAGTACACCACTGGTCTGTAAATAAAGCTTCTCTTCCTCATGTCATTTTGTGGTAGAGTCAGAGTGAGCATGCAACCACCTGTGAATAAGCACTTGAGCATAGCTCTGGTGAGATGATGAGATATCAAACCTAAAGAAGAAGAGGTGGAAGAGGAAGTGTCTGAAATTGAAGTCAGTACTGCAAAAGACTAAGGATCAACTGTTCTGGAGAACAAACTGATGAAAAGGCTGCTGACACAAAGGACAAAATGACTGTTCATTGTTCTGGAAACAACAAACAGGTGACGGTGTCAGTCATAACCTTTTAAGTATCATGTTTGTTCATCTTTAACTAGATTTAAAAACAAGCTACTTGTCTCAGACGTTTATAGTGGCAAGGATCTTATTTGAAGAAGTAATGATTGTATTATTTTTACATATAATTTATTGTATTTAGATCTGATCCGGCGATTGAGAGGGGTTGAAGTTATTATTTCATACTCTATAGTTGTAATGTAGCTTTATAGCAAAGTTTATCAATAGATCTTTCTCACAGCAGACATTCATACTTGCCGTTGCAGGAAAGGCGTAGCGAATAACATTAAGGATGCAAGTAAGCTATGCTAGACAGCCACTACACAATAACAGAAACTCAGTCAGATGAACATGTTAATGGAGTGCAGCAGTTAATGTTATTAGTTGATGCAAGACTTTTTGAGTATTTCTGAATACAAAGAAAGCAACTTCCTTCCATTATGCATGGCTCTCTGAATGCTTCTAACACAAATAGTTTATATTAGTTGTGAAAGTTTGTGGAACATATTTAAAGTTTTATTTGCTTAAGGCTGTATTTACATTTATGTTTGCAATACAGTACATCCTTTTGGTGTTGTTATGGTGTTATAGCAGCAAATCATACTCCATAATTTTGACATTTTCCAGTGGACTACTATCAGCTTTTCCTATAGAAAACGTTTATGATAATATATTTTGCCAACCCATCATTGTTTTTTTTACGTTAGGGACTGAGGTAACGGGTTGATAACAAGTTGGCAGAAGAAGCTTTGGGAATCAAAAATATATATGTCCCCAAAACCACAAAATCAAAACATAGCATACTTTCAATCAGCCATGGCCCCATTTGACCCAGCTGAGAGGTTTAGATTTAACCACTGAGGTGAACAGTAGTAAACAGTGGAACAGGAAGACTCAGGTGAGCTAAAGACTCAGTGCTGCCCCCTAGAGTACAATCACGTCTCATGCATCAATAAATACACCATGTTCTCTCAGTCATTATTTGAAACATGTGTTACGTAACCGGGATCAACCAGCTAGCCAGTCAGTCGGTTAGTGAATTATGTCTCCGCTATATTTTGTGGAAAGATGATCTTCCATGCATATCTTTTCAATTAATTTCACTGGATTTGAAGATGTCCTCCCTTTTAGCTGTTGCTTTAGTTCTCTCTGTCTGAGTGAGTGCACACGTTTCTATAAGCTCCATCTTAATCCAAAGTCTGATGGGTTGTTCTATAGCAAGCGGCAGTGGGATTTATTTGTTTCTCTTTATGATTTCTGTGGGGTTTCTATCTCTTCTTTGCACACTGTTTTTGTTCATGGCACTGCTGTCTGCTACTTGTGGTACTATTCTGAACAAATTAAAGCTTATTTGGACAGTTTACTGTAAAGTATCTAAAGCATACACCTGCTGTACTAATTGTATAACCTTGATATGGATAAAGAAAAACTCAACACATACGCTGGACCATATGGTAGCACAAACATACATAAATATATTCCAATACTAATGCACAAACAGAACAACAAATATACATACATTCACTTTAGGTAAATAAAAGACAATGCTGGCCCTTTTCAATGATGTTTCAAAGAACAGTAGTCTGATAAAGCTTATTCTTCTGTGCCATAAAGCTAAATCTTTGTCCAAAAACACAACTTCAGGTTGTACTGGCTGACATGTTCTCTGATTACGATGGACACACATAGTTCACCTCCGGGGCACGGTTGAAGTGCCCTTGAGCAAACCACATAACCCCTAAATTTAATTAGTAGCCCACACCATCTTGCTCACTAGCACACAAAATGTGTATTAATCCACAACTGAAAATATTCTCCAACGAATGTGCTATTTACGCCTGTTGGAGTAACATTAGCTGTTTTAGGAATTTATTGAGACATTTCTAAAACTTCATAATTGTTATTTAATTTTTTAGGATTTACATTTTCATTAGGGACAAATGAGCTTTGGGTCTGAGAACCACAGACAGGGTTGAAAGGATGTGAAGTACTGAGAGACACACTAAACTACAGTACTCATTTTCATTGTAATAAAGGAACATGTCTCCACATGGCTCATATCAGGCTCTGACCACACAGGCAAACCTTGTTAGTTGGACAAATAAAAGGGTGGCAGTGGTCTTTTCATGGGATTTTAAGGAAAATATACAATATTACCAGCCTTAAGTTGTAGCTAATTTAAGTCCAATTAAAACCATTTTTGACAAGAATGTTTTTTAGATTTGTATTCATGTCTCATTTCTTTTTCCTCCATGCCCACGTCTGCTTTTGCTTCTCTCTTTCTCTCCCTCTCTCTTTCTCTTTTCCCCCTTTACTCTTTATGACTACAAGGTCCCAACAGAGTCCTATATGTCCCAGTTGTCTTGGCAGGACTCCCCTCTTTATACTGAAACGCAGACAGAGAAACGTCTGTCACAGCTGGAGCCACCTAGTCCTGCCCCAGGTCAGCAGCCTCTTCAGATCCTGGACCTGTGGGAGCATTACTTGGACCCGTCCACAGGGAGAAGCTACTATGTCAACAGCTTCACCAAGGAGAGGTCCTGGAAACCCCCTCGCCGGTCCCGTGGACGCACCACCAACAAGGTAAGGCTCACGACGCAGCCGGTGTCCATTCACTGTTACTCCTCCTAAATCTTCTTCTTATACTAAAATTGCTTTAAATTTGAAAAGGTGGGCAATTTCAGAGCTGGATGGAAGTTTCTTTTCTCAAAGGAGAGGATAGAAAGGGGTCAGGGTGCAGAGTAAAAGAGTCTGCTCATTTATATGCTCACATAGTTTGACTGTATCAGCACTAAAAGGGACCTTTTCAGCCAAAGAACTTCATAAGACCTAAGGGAGAGCACCCTGGCTTGCATATTTTCTCTTTACTGAGACATGAGGTGATGCATAGAGGGTTGCACCCGCAGTGATCACAGGACAGGTTTCCACAGCTGGAAGCTAAAGTATAGTGCACGTGGGGAGACTCATATATGAGTAGCAGTTACTCTAAATTCTCACTTTGGCATAGGATCACATTGAACTTTAAGAGTTGAATATTACATAATAAGTTGGCAAGGTCATTGATATGGACAGACAGCTTATTTATATATTATATATATATATATATATATATATATAGTTTGGTATTTGGGTCTATTAAATATATACGGCTACATACAGGAGACAGTAAGCTTAGTTGAGCACAGGAAACAGCTAGACTGGCTTTGTTCAAAGGTGACAAAATCTGCCTACCAGCACCTCTAAAGCTTACCATGTAACACATTATATCTAATTTCCATAACCCATGCAAAAAAAAAAACAGGTGTAAAAATGGCTGAGGCTCTGAGCAGTTGCCAGGCAACCAGCGGAGACTCCAGGAAGTTACTGCTCTCTGCCAAGAAATATTCGGGCACATAACCCACCGTAAAACAGTGCTGCTAGGCGGATTTTGTCCTGGAGTTATGGGAGTAACTTACTAAATCTATAGAAAACTGACAAAATAACACAAACTTAAAATATAGTCAGTCTAACAATTAAACAATAATGCTACCTATGTGAAACTTTGTTGATCCTGTCAAAGACGTGTGGGTTTAACAATATAGTTGAGAATGGCTGTTGTTAACAGCTAAGAATGCATCTCAAGACCTTTCCTGTTTCACAGTCTATATATTCTTTTTTTCTTTATCTGGCAGGGCAGTGCAATACAACCTCAGACGTTACCCAGAGAAACCAACCATCTGTCATTACCACTTCCTGAAGCTGGTAATGGAACAATGCACCGGGTAAGACCACTGTACTTGATACCCTGATGACACATTGTGTTATTTAACAGTCAGATTCTGAATGACCTTAGCTTACATTGGTAAATGGAACACCTTTCACGTAATCACAGGATATGTGAGTTTTTGGGATGATAAGATCAGGATGAGGTTTGTCTCGGCCATAGTGACAAAATGAATGAATGTAGTTACACTTGCATAATGATCATACGTGAGGGCGCCCCCACCTGGTAGAGTACGTGCCCAATGTATAAGATCTGAGTCAAATCAAATCCAACTTGCTCTGTCCACACTTTCCTGTCACTCTCAGCTGTCACTATAAAAAACCCCAAAAATAATATAAAAACAAAAAAAAGAGATGATACATGACTTAATTTGAATAACTCAGTTGCTCAGCTACTATTGTTGTTTTCTCACCCTTTGCCAGTAACTGAACAGAGTGACACATACACACCCAAGAAAAGCATCTTCTTGAGCTTTGACCTGTGTTGCCTTTAAAGTGCCATATAAATAAAGCTGAATATCACACACATTTATCACCATACAGACTGATTATCTCTAACCATACAGGAGTTTCTGAGGGTGGAGATATTCCTTTGAAGTGAACTCTTACACCTCAATGTGTACTCCTGCTGTTGCTATGTATTGCAGATTTATTTTGTGTATGTTTTCTTTATTCAGTCATTTGTGTACAAGGAGGTTTGTACAGATGAGGTTGTGAGGAATGTGTTTATGACACTGTGTGCCAAGTCAGTAATTAGTCAAAGTGGTTGGTTTAGATATTTTACAATCATTAATTTGGTTCTTCATAACTGTCAAGAAGCTTTTATATTCTTAACTTATTGCACTGTCCTGTGATGTAAATAATTATTAAGAGTATTAAATGATTGTTCCTATGTGACAAGTGCAAACAGCTGTGCTCTGACATCAGAACAACAGACAGCACAAACCACAGTGAGACAAAAAATACTTTTCTACACATTATGACATATATATGAATCTACTGTCGGCGTCTGTCTGTTACCCACAGTGCGTGTTCCAGATTAAAGCAGGGAGAAATGCTGAGCGGTGGCCAAATTAAAAAGGGGATTACATCTTTCTAGTTGCCCCATCATTTACTGACTAACTCGCTGCCTCACTTATTTATTTATTAACTGCCCCTGACACACATTTCCTCTCTCCAATGGGGTTTTTGTTGGGCTAATCCCTGAAGCGAATAACAAGGTAATGCCTCTTGATCTGATGCAGATGAGCAGAAGCCATTAGAGCCACACAGAGGGAGACAGAGGGCTCTTTTAAATCCAAAACATTACAAAACATTGCTAAATTTAAACCACTCACTGAAACTTCACATCAGCCTCCCGGACCTCACAAATGCCATAATAGTCAAACATCCACTGTTTCATTCATTGCACCTTTTTTGTGTTTATAAGCTCTGATTGAGGAAGTAGATATGTTGTTTCAGACGTAAGGTTTTCTGAAGAGAATTATTGCAACAGCCGCCACTGACTGAAATTGACCCATCCACAGAATCAATGACGACACCTAAGCTGTAAAGTGACGTGAGCCGCGTGATCCAGATTGTTAGAGATAAGCATTTTGCATCTCAAGGTTGCGTTGCCTCAATGTTGCGTCAGTGTTTCAAATTTAATGTTGCTCATCAAAAAAAATCCCACTTGATCAAAGCAGTGATTCCCCCATCAAGTCAGTTTGAGATGCATTCTGTTGACCTATATGTGTCATTTTTTATTCTGTGCTACATGTGTTACCAAACAGGAACTTCACCAATGATATATAATGCATACCACATGCCACACGAGTTAATGGCCCAGGTGTTAAAACCTGGGTGACCCATATTACTTGTTTGCACACAGCGTTCTCTAGATTTTATTTTTGAAAAACATTTTAACCCTTAGCACATTGGCTCCTTCCTGTGCTTTGTGAACTCAGGTATTCACATTGAAGTGAATAAGTAGAATTGCTCAACTACTGTGCTTAAATACAATTTTGAGGAACTAGTACATTACCTGTTTCCATTTTACTTTATTCTAAACTACTATTCTGTATATTTGACGGTAGAGCTGAAAATATTAGACAATGGATTTCTCTGTCAATCAACAGAAAATTAATCAATTGCTCAATTGCAAAATTTTATTTTATTTTATATCACTGGAAATTTTATATCTTTGTTTCTTGAACTGTTGGGTCATCCTGGGCTCTGAGAAATAGTGATGGACATATTTCACAGTTTTCTGACATCTTATAGACCAAACAACTAATCAACTTTGTTTGATGTAAATCTACAGCCCTGTCAAATGAGCTCTAGTACCCCTTAATCATGTTCCAAATGTATTTTTTAATATTAGTTATATGAAAGTGGATATTACACATAGACACTCTGTTTCTGGAATTATACATTTTAAGGCTTGGTCTCTTTTATTCATCAGAACTGGAAAGTTTTGTTTTGTATTACGACTTTTTGGAACATTTAATAAGGACATTTCTGTCATTATCTGTTAATTTTAGATGTCTATTTTAACCTCTCTGCTCGCCTCCTCTCTAGTTTCCACATACACTCAACAGCTGGAGGTGTTATTAAGGTGTTAAACTGACTCATCTTGGTGGAGGTGGGTGTTGAGGAGTTGTACTGGTTATTGTGATTTTGGTGATTGTAAATATATGAAGAGGAGCCTCACACCAGATTGTAATACTATTTATGTATTTTATTTTCTTCCAAAATACAAGTATGTGGAAATTTTTTGTTTTACAATTTCAATTTCACTGCATCAAACTACCAAACAACAAGTAGTTAGTTTAAAGTGAGTTTAAAATGCTGCCTACTCGCTAAGGTATCAGTAATAAAAATGCAGTAACAACAATCTGACAGCATGTAAGGTCCAATTCCTCATTGTGAGTTATGGCTGAACCTCGATTTGTAATGAACTATGTTAACAATGTGGTATTGTTATGTTTACTGAAGTATTTTGCCTGCACACTTGCAAACAAAAGCTGTTGGACTGTGGTTGATGTGGCAATGTTAGCAAAGTTCTGGTGTGATTATTCTCAGCTACTTTACATGAGACATGACTGTACCAACTGATAAAGCCAGCTTCCCTCTAGAATAGGGAAGTAGAGGCAGGCTGCGACAGAAGGGAGAGATGAATGGTTTTTATATTTTGACACTCAGACAAAAAGTGTCATGACATGAGACAACAGACAGCCAAGGACTTAAACAAGGAGTTGGCCTGGATTGTATAACTTGTTGATCAGTAATAATGAGCACTTATGCTGTGAGTTCATTTTTTTCAATTTCTTACACATTATATACTTTGTCTTGTTGTTTTCATTCCATATCATTATTGGTGTGTAATTTCACATGTGAAATGTTCTGCCTTTTAAATGGAAATATATTTCATATGATTGATGTGCTAATATAGTTCACTCACTTAAGCTTTGTCTCAACAAGTTGATATGACTTGATTTATGTGGACATGTGTGATTCAGTTCAGTAACTTAAAATCAGCATGCTTGATTGAAACCAGTACTATGCAGTGTGTGTTTCGGTATTACTGAACTAACGGCAGCAACTGCCTCTGATTAACTTCAGTTGAATACAGGCACAAGTGTATGTGTGTCTGTCTGTGAACCTCTGTGCTGTGGTGGTGAATCAAATAGCATTTTTAGCCATCAGGATGTAAACGGAGCAGAAGAGTATAGTTTCGTTGTCAGTGGCTACGTTAGCCCAGGCTTCAAGGTTGATCTTAACTGAACATATTTGTCAGCATCCTGTTTTTACACGCTGGTGTGAAATTTACCCAAATTGCTGCCATTTTGTATCAATTTGTTTGTCGCACAGATACTGACGTCTAGTTTTTAGAAAAGTTTGAAAGTTAAATACTCTTTGATCTTTTTTGCAGTTCAATACAGAAAATGGTACCTCATTGAAAATGGTATTTAGTAGTTTTAAAATAAAAGGAAATATAAATAGTAACTGTATCCGTGTTTCCGGTCTTTGTCTTCCTGTCTCTCTTTCTCTCTAGCTGTCACCTGATTTTCTCTTGGGGGGCCATGAGAGGAATACTGATGGTGGTTGGCAGATGAAACAGGTGAAACCCTACCTGCTGCACTCTTTCATAGCCAGGAGGAATCTAAGGCATTTCACTTTGACTTACACCTTGTAAAAAAAAACTCCTGTTGAAGAGTAAAGTTGAAGATGAGCACCCTTTATCAATTTTGCGTACTCTTCCTACACAACAGAATACATTTGCTAAACAAAACGGAACATCATACTATTCTGGTGGCGGAGTCTGCCACCTTGACTTTGTCACTTATTAACTACCATTAACTGTATGTCTGTACAAAAATATATATAGATTACTTGGACTGCCTATTCTTTTTAAAGCGTTTAGCTGACAACCCTTTCCTTGTTTTTCTGCTCGCATGCCTGACTGGGAAGGTAATCCTAAGTGTTTTATCAGCACTTAAAGTCCTTTTGATGGAGGGTATTTTCCTCATGAAAATCAATGAACTCGAGTCGTTACATTAGCAAAAACTGCATCTCCACTGTATTACTGTAGAATACATTAAAGTAATGCCAGCTATGCTCTTTAGATTCTCAGAGATCAGCATTTATGCATATTAAGGTGGTGAAATAGCAAATCATGGTGTAAAAAGAAAAAGGCGGTTACCCAAGCAATTCTTACTGCAACATGTTGCATCACAGTGGGGTGTGGGTGCGCTTGGTTTAAATCCCTTTTAAAGGCCTCCTCTCCAGAGCAGATTTAGTGCTAATCCTCCTTGCTTGAAAAGATGGCAAACATTAAGAAGGATATTTAGCCTGATTGTTGTAACTAGGTTACAGGGATTGGGAAAGGTACTTTAAATATGGCTGTTGCTGCATGAAAAGTTTAAATTGTTTGAATTTTGTGTGATCATGCACACGTATATTTACGTGCGGGATTGTAAGCATATATATTTCATGCATCGCTGTCTCTCTTCCTGTCAAGTGAAGCAAAGCAATTTGAACTTATCAAGGAAACTGCTGTTTGTCCACATTTGTCAGTGTGTAAAGGCTTGTGGTTAGTATTGTTTCTCCAAGGGCTATAATGCCCCAGTTCATATTTGCAGTTCATACATTAAAATGAAGTTATGATGCAGCATTGTTGCATTGTTGCATTGTTTCATAATGGCTACCAATGTATGATACTGAGAGCTGACAAAGAAAAAGAAAACTTGCTGAAGGACTGACACTGAGGCTGTGTGGTCGACCAAAGTCAGTAAGGTGACATTTAAACCCACGGAAGACTGATTTGCAAGCCAGCATTTAGTGACCTTATTGTGGCACTTTTGTCTAAACTAATTATTTTGACCCTTGAGCAAAGGTCTTCATCTTAGGCATAACAAATGGAAGTGCAAATGGAAGAGTCGATATCTTCCTTGAAGTTTTGCGTGCTTGCTTGAATTGTATTCATGTGCAAGTGCAAAGTAAATAATGTCACATAAAATGTGTTACCCAAGTTGCTCCCATAGGAAATGAAGTAATTTGGAGAGAAACTGCATGACTAAGACCCTGACCTTTATGTTGCTCTTTACTTTTACTTGTTTGTGGTTGTAATTGTTTAGGAGTTTATGCTCATTGTACTGTTGCACTCATTCAAGGTTGCTCTAGGCAAGAGCATCAGCTAAATACTAAAATACACTGTAAATATAATATAAAGAAAAAGCTTCTACTGAAGTCTCCTATTCAGAAGAAAACAAACAATCTCACTTTACACTGTATCTACATGACGACATAAAAATACAATGGGAGCTGATTGTATTTATTTTTTAGTTCCCATGCAATAAATCAGTAATTTCCCTTTCCCTTGTTTGTCTGTTCCACCTTTTGCCACTGACCCAAACATTTGACCCCGACCTTTAAACCCCCGTGAAGAGCATGCAGCGTGCCGCCTCCTCTGACACTCTGAGCACGATGGCGTTCAACAATGCCGAAGCCCAGTTCCATAACTCTGGCCCCCTGCATGATGTCAAGCAGCAGCTCAGCCACTCCCAATCTATGACCCTGCCTGAGAACGGCAAGGTATTCACCTCCAGAGCACGGACACACAAGCTCATAAATTGTGTGTACAGTATCTAACAGACATGCAGAGAGAAGAGGAAATGCACATTTACTCCAACAGACACTTTTCACATGACACTGGACATATGCATATATATACATTAAAACAAATGAACACAGCTGATAATGATCACTTCCTGTCTTTCAGCTGGTCCAGCAGTGCAAAGATTACTCCTGTAATGTGACCAACATTGTTGTGGAGCCTCCGTCTCCCCAGAGCTCTCCAGACAGCGATGGCTGCACACCGGTGAGAAAACCCTGCTATTTACTTTTGAGCTAAAAATACCTGTACGTACTACTAAAACCATCACACGGAGGCTTAATTATCCAGCCTTTTTAATGGACTTGAACGAACAGACTGTAGTGGTAATGCTGTTACCCAAACATACCAGTAAAAAAACACACATAAAGCTCTGTTAGCTCTGGCTTTCTACTGACTACAATCCAGTTCTGACAAAATAAGGATTTTACAGAATTCATGTGATTTTCTGAGTGGTGACAATCCCGAATAAATGTTATGATGATTAGATGTTGTGGGATATCTGTAGCTGACACATAAAAGTGCATTCTGTCTTTACAGAAGAAAACAGATGAGCAGATTTCATTCGGAACCATTTTTTACTGAAGTTAAAAGAAAATTGAGAAAACTGGCCAGTCTGAGATCTTTTTATTAATCTAGACCTGAGTTTTTTAATGTAAATTCTATATTCTTTGAATATGACAAACATAGGATTATCTCTATGATCTCTCTCTCTTCTCTCTTTGAAATCAGTCTTCCTTCTTTTCCTTAGTTTGTTCCTCTCTGTTTTTATATACTGTACTCAACTCTGTAGTTAGTATTAATTCTGTTCTCTCACACCTTAAACGGGGCCACACCGCAGTGGGAGATTTTAGAGCAGCTCCCCTCCTGCTATTTTTTGAATGATGCAACAGTCAAGTTAAATGAGTTCGCTCAGGATGCAGTATATTACACAGAGGAAAAGCCCTCTGCTGTACTTTACTGTTAATATTTTAACTTCTCCTCACATACTCTTATTAATAAAGCCATACTTGCTTCTCTGAGTGATGACAGTTTACATATTAGTGTTTTTTTTAATGGACCCTTTTAATGTGTTCTCAGGAGTTGGAGAAAGCCGGCCTCTTGAACAAGACAAAAATTGCAGAAGGAGGCCGGAAACTGAGGTGAGGCGTCATGAGGCTACTTCTATTAAAGTTAAATTAGATTGCGTCTGATTGCATGAATATTGTGTTTGAAGAAATTATGGTAAATATGATTTGCCGGGCTGAATCCTCTCTGACCAGTATATGTGTGTTTGTTGGGTTGCAGGAAAAATTGGAGCCCTTCCTGGGTTGTGCTGGTCGGGAACAGTTTGGTTTTCTTCAAAGATCCTAAATCACAGACGCCTTCTAGCTGGGTAAAAGCTCAGACCAGCACATACTGTTTTTCAAAAACATAAATTAGGTTGTTTTTTTCTGTATATAATAAAAAAGACTGAGTGGAAAATCATTACATTGCAAATTTCTTGATTTCAAAATCACCCTACTCTTGTGAGTCAATTTGTAAGTGCAGATGTCAGTTTTTCTACATGGTGGATTTTTTAATTCAAACATTGTTAAGTAACTTTTGAAGTCATCTGACTCTGACCTGTTGCACAAAGATCAGAGGCTTTTAACATTTTCCTCTTCATAGGTCTTTGCAGTGAAATGACACACATCAACTCCTCTGCTCATAAAAGAGGTCACACAAACCTGTTGCAGGTGTTGTGTGTGAAAATTGGTCATAATGTAAATGTCAGTCAAAAAGGGCAAAAAGTGGTCACCCTAAAATTCTATACAGCAAAAAACACCTAAACTCCATTTTTAGAAACATAATAATAATAATAATAATAATAATGCATTTTATTTGTAAATAAAATGCATTATTATTATTATTGTTATTATTATTATTATTATATGTGGGTTGATTCAGCCAACGAAACGAAGTGTTGAGTAAATAGAACAAAGCTTTAATTATTTTGTGTGTGTACCTGTTTGTTGAAAACAGAAACCAGGAAACAGTCGCCCTGAGAGCAGTGTGGATTTAAGAGGAGCACAGCTTCACTGGGCCAATGAACTGTCCAGCAAGAAGAACGTATTCAAGGTAATCTTCAATCACACAGAATATCAACTGTTGTTGTTCGGTGACAGTTGCTCTGAACTGATTTACAGTGACAACAATGTCACAGCAGTTTAACAGCAAAACATAGAATCATACTTCTGTCAGCAAAGGGTCACTTATCCGTGAGGGAAGTGAGAGTAGGAAGCTTTTTTCACCCGGTCACTCTATACTCTATAGTGACCCTCGGTGAGGAGGAGGAAGCAGTAAAAATTAAATTTCCATTGAAATGGGGCAGGTTTAAATATAGGTGAGAATGCTGTTTTTAAAAAGAAGAAATGTCCACATGAGTCAGTTTAACACATGACAACTTTTGTTGAAACTAAAATTAAATTAAAATGAAAAAAATACATCCAACATTAATGTGGTTTGTAAATGTGTGTACCGTAGCTGAGGACGGTGACAGGAAACGAGTTCCTGCTGCAGTCGGAGACAGACTCTCTGATCAAAGAGTGGTACACCACCATCCAGAATGTTATCGACAGACTGGTGAGTCGCAAAACACACAGAGTTGTACTTTCAATGTACCACTTCTCTATTATTGGCTTCCCTTTGGATCATATCCTCAGTATGTAAGGTTGATGTTCTTCCTTTCACTGAATATTAAACCCACAGCTATCCACAACCTTGAACTCCTTCCTGTCTTATTCTTTTTACCTTTTTAGTTTCTTTTAGATTTAGTTTCCAAAATGTCCCACTTTGTACCCTGGTTACAAATATTTAATTACCAAATTGAAGGGATCCATATCAAAAATGTAACTTGCACTAATCAATATTAACAATTAATATGGATATATTAAGAGTGTCAAATGATCATGTGTTATGTGCTTGTAGTAATGACTGTAGTTCCCCTCAGCTCTACATTACAGCTTCTTAGTGTATTTTACCTCATTATTTTGTTTGGTTCAATCTCAAAGTTCTTATAAACATAGGCATCCACTTTCTGTAAAAAAAAAAAAAAAAAGTATATAACCCACTAGCCAGATATTTCTGTTGGGACTAAAAGAGAATGAATATTAGACTGTGAATAAACTGTTAGACTTTTAATGGATTCTTAACAAAACTGTTTAAGATCAAATGGCTAATGTGTTGGAATTTTTTAAACTCTCATGTATGTATGATGAGCTCTAAATTAAAGCATAATTTTGTTTTCCTACACAAATTACCAGTCTTTAGAGTCTCCCTCCACTCGAAAATAGGTTCTTCTTCTTGTTCCTGCAGTTGGAGTTTTGCGCTTCACTGTGCAGAATGATGTATGTGTAGAGTTTGACACCAGAGGGATGATTTCACATTCATTTTCTGACAATGGAAAGTTTCTATCTGCTCACTGAAAATCAGATTTTAAGGGTCAAGGCTACAAGCATAGTTTGGAAGTCAATGAGGAGGTGTGATGTATAAACTTGAAGCATCCAGTGCCCATACACTGAGAATGGATTTTACAGTGAAGTAGGAGACATCTTGTGTCCAGCAGGAAAACTTTAAAATTAAAGAAAAAATTGCATATTCACAGATTCTGAATTTTTTAATGAGAAAGAGTAGATTAATTTTAATGTGTAAAAATGTTTTGCAGAAAAAACATCAGATACACTTTTCCAAGCAAATCATTTGTAAATACGTCTTAATACAAGTCTGGAGGGGATCTTTTAAACTTCTTACGTGATGTTTGTATATGATGCAGTTAACACAGTACTCTGTCTGCCTTCCAGGACCGCGAGAACCCGTTAGACAATGTCCTTCTGTATTCTCTGAGGCGAGCTGGCAGTGTGGAGATGCTGGACCACAGTGGAGACGAGGATGAGAGGAGAACGTCGCGTAAGTCATCACCACATGATTCCTCTCATCGCTCCATCCTGACCTCCTTCCTTCACACAACGCCGTCACATAAAACCTCCCTGCTCACCATCTCACTTTACTGACAACCTCTCACTCAGTCATCCTCATTATCATCATCACTCTTTTTCTCTAAACTTCCATGCAGGCTTCTTACATCCCTCCATCCTCTCCTCCATCCTCTCCTCCATCCAGCCCACTTATATTTTCACGCGGCCTCCGTGGCAAATAATCCCCCCGTCAGTCCTGTCTCACCTGCGCCGTCGTCCGGCCCTCCCACTTTTCATCCTCACCACCATCCCCTCTCATCTGCTCTCCTGCCCCACACTGACCTCCTCCTCCTCCTCTTCCTCCTTATCTTCTTCCACCTCCTCCTTTCCTTCCTCTGCAGTCCCTCGCTCGTCGTCCAACCTGGAGAACACAGAGAGGAAGAGAGTGAAGACCCGACTGAAGAAGCTGATCCTAAAGAGACCTCCTTTGCAGGCTCTGCAGGAAAAAGGGCTCATTAAAGGTGAGATTTCTTTTTGAAGTTTTACACTATTTGAATGCAAGTATCCTTTATTCAGCAGTATGCAGGGAAGTGGTGAATGATGGAAGTGTGTGTTCTCTTTAGCTCTTTAGTTTTTAATATTACAAGACTGCACTTCTACAGCTAAAACTATCCACTCGACTTTTGTTGGGAAGTTGAAGATATTTTGAGCTGAGCTGCATCACAGTTGATGGCTGGGAGGAATTCTCAGCATTTATCCTTCAGTGATGCCACATCCCCTAGTGAATGTGCGTTGCAATCCTCCTTGCCTGTTTAGTAACAGCTTCTCCAAAATGACAACGTTTTTCACGCTGCTTGCCTGCTTATTACAACACTATTATAACATCTTTCGGATTGTTTTTGATGCTGAAACAATCCTTTGTTTTTGCTTATTCCCATATCCTAAGCAAAATATGTTTTTTTTTATTTAAAAAAAGAAACAAATTGAGGGAAAAACCTGAATAAATGAGTGGAGAAACACAATGAGGGCACAATGGACCACTGAATGGTTTGTGTTTATATGTCGCGGCCTTCACAGTCACCAGATCTCAACACAATTGAACACTTATGGGAGATTTTGGTTCGATGTGTCCGACCACACTCTTTGCCACCTCCAATAACAAATGAAAATGAGGGAATGTTTTTTTTAAAGAATGCTGTTTATCCCTTCAGTAGAGTTCAGTGTCTTGTGCTACATTCACACTGCAGGCTCACAACAAATCACATTCTTACTGAGAGTGTTAATGTTAGTTTTTCCTTTAAATGTCTCACTCATCAAATTTCCTTTATTAATTTCATTACCAAAATCTTTTTTCTTTTTTAACTGTATTACCACACTTCTATATTGAGTCTTTTTGAAAAGCTGTTCCTTATTCTCAAGATAAAACAATTATTTTGTTAACATTCAGCCGCAATAGATAATCACTACTGGAGAAAAAGATGAGTTCTAGAAACAAATATGAACTCTTTCTGGCATTTTTACCTTTTATTTGATTGCAAGCAGTAGAGAGGTGACAGAAAGAGAAAAAGAAAGACATGGTTCCTGGCCAGATTCAAATCGGGGATGTTGCATTTACATGGTCAGCATCTTAGGCCTCAAGTTCACCAGGACACTTCAGAACCTCATTTTAACAAAGATAACCAACAAGTGTTTGGTTTACATTGAAAAACTACAGCTCCCTTAAAGTTCTGAAATGTAACCTCAAATACATCCTCATCCACTAGGAGGCGTAATATCATTAGAGGTGAAGAATCTGATGATGACTGAAAGAAATACTTTCCCAGCTATTTTGAAAGTATGATTGGAAATAGAAATGTTTGTTTGTGTGGTTAATTATGATTTAACAGATTTTTATTTTTATTTATTTATTTTTTTCTTGTTAGAGATAACAAAGTCTGATCATACAGCAGTATAATGGCAGCATATTGTGGAGTAAAGGGTTACATATGATTCTTTTTCTCCCTATAGTATATACAGTAACATTTATGAGTTGTATTGCATCATCTAGGGTGAGCTTACATCTCTGCTGGCAACATGGAGGTTTTTCTCCCATAGTGAACACTAAATGTATCACTAGATTAACTTGAGCTTGTAGCTCTTACATCATATCTTGGCACAGTTATTTGAGAAAAAAAACTTCTGAACCGACATAAAAAGCGTGTGTGTTTGTGTCCGTCTGTCATCACCCTTCAGATCAGGTGTTTGGCTGTCGTCTGGAGATGCTCTGTGAGCGAGAGAAGAGCACCGTCCCTCGCTTCGTCAGACTTTGTACTGAAGCTGTGGAGAAGAGAGGTACAGTCGCTGCAAAACACACAGCCACAGGAGTTAATGTGATTCTCAACATAGAGCGGACACATGAGAAAAACACCCTCAATCCTGTTTTGAGCATCAGTCACTTGACGGCAGTTCTGCCCCCATTGTCTGCGACGTGAATCATCCAACACAAATTTACTGAGAAATGTTTATGATTGTCCGACGGAGAACAGACTGAAATGCACAGAGAGGAAGTCATGACAGCTGCCAGCTAGAGAGAGATCTAAATGAGAGAAAATGGAGTTGTTTGGGGAACTGTTTAGAAACAATGCTGCAAATAAATATTTAATACGAACAAAAAAAAAAAACAGTGTTTTGATCACAAGAGCTTTAAAAACCTGGGTTTGATGAATTAAATATTTCTAGGGAGCTGTTTCAGATTGAGACATTTATGTTCGAGGCTGTGACAGACTAAAACACTTCTGGAAAAAGAGAAAGAGGAACTATTTTACTAATTCTCATAGTTAAAGTATATAATGATTTCAGAAGAAAAACATACCAGTAATCCAGTAAAGGACTAGTAAACTTTTAGCATTTCTGCTCATAAAATGACAATTAATTGATTATCAAAATGGATGCAGATTTAATTAATTAATTGATTAATTGACTAATCATTTCAGCTCTCATATAGATTATGAAGCACTTACAAACAGATTTGAGAATTCAGGGCCCATAATCAACTAATATTAACAGTTCTCCTACATAGCTGCTGCAGAGTTGCTGTATGTTTAATAGCAGTTCCATGATGCATTAAATGTCAGTCAGTGGCTCCTTGTGACTGTGACACTGTCAGAGCTCTGAGGATATTAATAAACAATATATGACTTGTTCTTCTGACAACTAATGTGTAAATAGCAGAAATTCCTTGTCATAACAAAACTTTGCAGGGACACCAAGAAACACACTAAATGTTAAGAGGAAGTTTAAAACTACTCACACGGTTCATGTGATCACATTACATTTTTTTAATGTCTAAAAGTGTGAAAATGTGCTTTGCTTTATTCATGTTTGTGGGCACGCATGAAACAAACTTTTTAAGTACATGCTATTATTGATGTGCAGAAAATGTGACCAGCAAAACAATTTTATCAGCACAGACTGCCTTCTTACATTCAGTTGTCTTTTAAATAATGTGTCAGTTTGGTTTTGAGTCTAACCTCCTTACCTACACCAGTGGAGTTCCCCTGATCTAACCAACTCTGTGTGGTATGTTGCAGGACTGGACACTGACGGCATCTACAGAGTGTCAGGGAACCTGGCAGTCATTCAGAAACTACGCTTCCTGGTGAACCATGGTGAGGATGAAGGGGAGGGGCAAAACTGAATGTTTGATTTAGCCTCTGACAATGAATGAAACCTGAGAGAAAAGTGTTGGGGGAGGAGAGCAGAGGTGGCAGGTTGAAGTTGACTTTTCTTGCATTTGTCAGAAGATCTCCCTCTTTTTTCAGTCAAGATGAATGTCATCTGATGCTGTTTTGTTCACTCTGATTACATATTATATTGTATAAACACAACACACACTCACCTGCTTGAAACCTGTGGTTGTCCCACTACATGACATCCTTTTGTGAAACCAGACGCTGAAGGAAAGCCGACTAACTGTTCAATTTTTGCAGAGCGAGCGGTGACCACTGACGGCCGTTACATGTTCCCAGCGGAGTTGGTACAAGGTATATTCAGAAGCGATGAGGAGAACAGTCGCTCTCACATGTTACTCGGCCTGCTTGTTTTGTGCATCGTGTGTTGCATAATGTGAACACCTCAATCAAAAACTCCTCAAAACGCCCACCCACAGACTGACACGCAGAGCTGAGTTTCAGCGCAGACGTGCACTGAACAGTCTGGTGCTTGTGCTACCATTTGCTGAATGTATGTGTGTCCCTTAGGCTTTTCTGCTTTAAGTTTTCTGATGTAATAACACGCAGCAGGTTGTACAGAGAGCTCTCACACAGTCCACGGCTGCCACCAAGTGGATGAAGCAGAGAATCAGCTGCTTGTGTACTGTGATGTGCTCTAATCCCACAGTATTATCTCACTGACTAATGTTTCTCATCATTAGATACTTGTTTATGTCATAAATATTAAAAGTCTTGACATTGAGGTCAAATTAAAGCTCTTTGTTTTGTTCCCTGTGGTTCTTCCATTTGAGAAGCATTGGTGTGTGATGTGTGCTTTATATGTGTTTGTGCTTCTGTGTCTTCTCTTACTTTTACAGACCATTTCTATCTCCTTCCTGCAGCTACAAGCCTTCATGTTACGCCTTAACACTGATGTGAATTCACACTCTGTTCTGTTCATGCTCTTCACTAAACCATACTGTGACTGTAACTCCAGTTGTTTCCCTCTTAATTCTCAGTCTTTGTCGCTCTCGTTCATATTGCCTTGCCTTTTGTTCACTGTCTGTATGAATTTCTCCCCTCATCCTCTCCTTCCCTCCCTCCTCCTCCCTCCTCCCTGTTTTTCAGAGGAGAAGCTGAATTTGGACGAGAGTGATTGGGAGGACATTCATGTCATCACAGGAGCTTTGAAACTTTTCTTTCGCGAGCTTCCTGAGCCCCTGGTGCCCTTCGGCTTCTTCACTGACATCGTGGAGACAGTCAGTGAGTGACCTCTTCTGTGTATACCCTCCCACCTTAATTTTGGGTACTTGAATGACGTTTGTACGAAATAAAAGCTAAATTCTCATTAAGCCTGTATATTTGAGGTGAGACATTTTTATAGGACATGTTTTTTCCAAGTATTTTTTGGGGTATTTATTGCCTTTTATTTGGTAGTGTGTAGTGGAAAGCAGACAGGATATGAGATGAAAGAGAGAGAGGAGGGGTTGTATGCATGAAAGTCCCTTGGTTGTGTTAAAGTTGCCGATGTTGCAATCACATGACCAACGTCTTAAAACCTCTACGCCGCCAGAATGGCTGCGTAGGATCCTTCTTAACCTCACCTTATTATTTATCCTCTGATGTGCTTTTATTTTGAACACTCACAACACTGCTGTGGTTTTAATGAGTCAAAACCAGGACAGTCTTGGTTAGACAGTTCAACCCCTTCTTTACTTGGGCACTTTCACACTTTGTCAAGTTGTGGTGGAAGTAATTTTCTTCATTATAGAATATAGTGTATTTACAGCACTTTTTTTCCACCTCTAGAAAATGTTGCACAACGCCACATATATCATGAAAGATATATGGACACAGTAAAATAAAATGGCACTTCCCAAAAAGAAAATTGCATGAATTCCAAGGCGAGAGAAGAATAATTACATACTGACAAAACTGAAATTTATTGAGCAGTATTGAAAATGAACTGATGGTTTTACTGCAAAAAAAAATCCTCACATTTTATCTGCATATTCTCACACAAGTCCCGTAAGTGTCAACTCATGGAAATTTTATATTTGAATCATATTCAAATAATTTAAAGGATGAGGCTGGCATTATTCTATTTTTTCTTCTTGTCAACAAACTCCATGCATTCTTTCCCACTGTTAAAAACAGGCCTTTAATATATAGTTGAATATTTAAAAAGCCTGTTCACAGCTGGCCATTGTAGGTTTAAGCAAAGGTGACTTTTGGGGGGACTACTTTCAGCTGCAGATGAATACCGAATATTTTTCGGCAGCAGGATGGGGAATATGGAATTGACTGAAAATTGTCAAGCAGTGTGGTTCAGTTGTGTTTTTAATAGTATATTGCAGTGAGGAATATAATCAGGCTCACATACATACATACTTGCTAGTAGGATCAAGTCACTGATTATGGTTTTGATTATGGGGTTTGTTGACAGTAAAAAAAAGTATTTAAAATTCAAAATAAAATAATATCACTAAACTTTTCCTTTAACTGTGTTCTTCATCAATTGATTTGCATGAAATCCTGTGATAAAGCAGTGTATCATAATATCCTTTACTTATCCTAAAACAGTAGATAATCTGACATCTTACATTCAGTAAGAAAACTTGCCTATTAAGAAAAAAATTATAATGAATGTAAATGCATTTTTGGTATGAATCCCCTGTTTCTTATCAATCAGTTGGACTTGTTTGCATGTGTGAGCACAGGGAGGGATCATCAGTTTACTGTTAATCAAACCACAGTGCTGATAGCTGCATGCTGCTGTATCAGATTAGATAGTGGATGCTAATAGAGTGGATGTCAATCAGGTTTCCGATGCTAATAAAGTAGATGAAATGGCATGCAAATGACGATATTTTATTGTGAACTGACGTGTCTTGCTCTGTGTTGCAGAGATGTCCGACTACATGGACAAAGTGGATCGTTTGAAGTGTCTGGTGCTCAACATGCCTCCTCCGAACCATGACACACTGCAGTTCATGTGTCGCCATCTCAGACGGTGAGAGGGCGAGAGTAAAACCACACACAGTACATCTCAGCTCATGTGTTTGTCTTCATCTCTGCTTGTTTAAATTTGTCTGCACTGGAACAGCCACATTTCATAATGCAGAATATTCCCTCGGGACATTTCGGCACGAAGGAGTGAACCAGATGCCCTTGTCGGAAAATAAAATCTCCTCCTCATAACTTTTCTGTTTAAATCTGACCACAAGAGGGGGCAGTTTCCTTGTCGTTCTCAGTAATCTTCTGTCAGGGATTCTTTGGCCACGGCTCTCGAAGTATGCCAGTGCTGCACCAGGATCACACTGTTGTTAAGTTTGGGTCCCTGTGAAGATGAAAAGGCTGGAGGAAGATGAATGGTGTACAATGTTCTGCAAGCCAGTTCCTTTTACAGTACATAAAATGTGTGTTTTTTACCGCCTATGGTTTTTCCTTCCACTACAGGGGTGAGCGTTCGTGTTCTGAGGCCGATGTTTGTGCCAGGGTGTGGTGGGCCCCATGAATTTGTCAACTCTGTGTCTTTCTCTCATTTTCTCCCCGCTGTCATTCCTTTCCCTCCTCGTTCTGTTTCTCATTTATTATCTCCCTGCCCAATCACCCCCGTCCCTTCCTCTCTTGCTCGCTTCCTTCCTTTGTTTCCTTACTTCCTCTTCCTTCTCTTCATTCTCTTCTTCATATTCTCCCTTTCCTCTTCCTCCCTTCTTCCTCCTTCTTTCCATCCCTTTCTCCTTTTTTTCCTCCCTCCTCCTCTCCTGCCGCCTTCCCCCCGCTCTTCTCCCTGCCTCGAAGGTCCCATGGGAGCCTTGTGGTTCGTCTGCTGGAAGGCATACCAACACCACCGCCGCCACCACTGGAACCTCTCTCTTTTCTCTCTCTTCGCCCTCTCCCTCGCTCGCTCCTTTTTTCCCTCTTCCCTCTCCTCTCTCTCTTTTTTCCTCCTCTCTTTTTAATGTGGAAGTTTTGAGCAATTGCTGGCTGCTTCTGTGGCTTGGTGGGAATGGCATTTTTAGAAGAATGCCTCATGCTGTGGCTTAAACCCATTCCTGAGTCCCCCCAGTCACACACACACTCAAACACACCAACATAGGTGGATTTAAACACTTATGTGCACAAATCTGGATTGTAGAAAGCAGATACATGGACATGAACATGCATGGAAAAGCAAGATGTCACTGGTGGATGTACAAACACATGTAGTTACTGTTCTGAGTTTGTAAGATGCCACATGCTGACCACAAGCATGAAGCTGTACGGTCATCTATATGCCTGCAATCCCAAAGATTAATTCAAACAAGATTAAGAGTCTGCAGCCATGCTCGCAGATCTAGGCTGTACTGGACCGCAGAGCTTTGAGCTATATGCTAAAGTCAGCATGCTAACATGTGCACATTGACATGCTGATGTTCAGCAGGTTTAACGTTTATCGTGTTCACCATCGTAGTTTAGTGTGTTAGCATTATAAGATTTAGCACTAAACATAATTTACAGCTGAGACTGATGGTGTCTGATGTCTTTATTTTTGCAGGTAGTTGGTCATAAACCAATGCGCCGGACAAAAATGTTGACCTGATGATGGCTGTAGCTGAAAAGATAACTTGTTATTACAAGTTATTACAATATATCCTGTGGGGGACATGAATGTGTGTACCAAATTTCATGCCAATCCATCCAAAAGTCGTTAAGACGTTTCACTCAAAACCACAAATGTTAACATCATGGTGGAAATGTCAGAGGATCACAAAAATCATCAGGTTACATCATCTGAAGACCATTCATGTCGGTGCAAAATTTCATGGCAATCCATCAAATACTTGCTTAGATATTTCAATCTGGGCCAAAGTGGTGGACCGACATTATCACCCCTTAAACCATCTTGCTAGTGTGAAATTAAATCCACAAGCTGCCTCTTTTAATCCTTTATTTTCAGACCCATTTTTGTTGTTTTGGGGTTTTTTTGTTGATATTTTAGACAATATTAACGCATCTTTTTCTCTGTGTGTCTGTCCTGTCCTTATACAGAGTGTTGGAGTATTCAGACACCAACCGAATGACCACCCAGAACATAGGCATTGTGTTCGGGCCGACCCTGATGCGCCCGGAGCGGGACAATGGCAACATGGCGGTGAATATGGTTTACCAGAACCAAGCGGTGGAGCTCATCCTCAGCGAATTTGACCACATCTTTGGAACAAGAGGCCCTTCTTGATCTTTTCGGACAGAAGGGGTTCAAAAAGCTCCTCCAGATCAGATGAAAGAACAAGTAGTGCAGCGTTTGTCCTCCTCGCCTGTTGACTCATGTGGTGTAAAATGGATTTCACATCAAAAGATAATTATGGGATAGAAAGAACCAGGACAGAAAGCTGCTAATCATGACATCTGGCCTCCATATAAAGCCATGTTAAAACAATAATAGTAAAACAAACCAATTTTAGCTGCAATACTTGTGTCTTTGACTGCAGATGTGGAGCTCAGACCCGGTGTTCTTTACGGCTGGAACAGGCGCCTCCTTGTCACTTTTCCATGATGTTTCAGACTTTATCAGGATAAATAAAAGCCATAAAAGTGATAAATCTCCTCCAGCCGGTCCAGCTAGCTGAGTATTAATCAGTGATTTATCAAGGAAGGATGTGTCTTAACGTAGCACTGAAGGAAAACTTAGCAGAACCATCTCACTGTGAAAACATGCACCAGCACCTCTTGCAGCAGGGATGGACAGACCCCCACCTGCAGCGCTTAGCATGGATATACTGTAAAATATGCAAACAAACAGGAAGCAAGCTGGGCGTGTAAGTGTGCCCACATCTCCGCTGAAGTTATACAGTGTTTAGATGAAGAGTTTTTAGGTTTATTTCATACATACATACAGAGGGAACTCTTCATAGATAAAAGCATAATTTCAGTGATGGGATGAATGTGCCAAGAGGGCAGCAAATGTTCCTTTGTACCAAATAGTAGGTAGTAGTTTGTGGACCTTCATAGCTTCCCTCATTGTACAAATTTGTCTTCTCTTTTCGATTAGCGCAAACTCCTCCGATGAAGTTAAAAATATTAAATTGTATATATGTTAAATACTGTCTTTGTCAACTAGTAGCACTTTGTATACAATGTGTGACCTAAACATTAAATATTAGCCAAATTCAAACTGATACATTTGCTTTGAAATTAACGGTGTGATGTTAAAATATTGCCTGGATCTGGTGGTTAACTCTCTTGCAATAAAAAAAAAAAAAAAAAAGAACAAACTGATTTGATCTATTTTGTGATATTTGGTCAGGATGTGTCTATCAGGTTTTACCGAGTGGTGGGTTGCGTGAGAGATAGTAGAAGTGTGTGGAGGTATGTGAGCCTCAGAGACACAACGGGCGGAGGGATCCCCTGTGATTGGTGCAAATGCTGCTTTTAATAACAGAACAAAAGAGGAACTGGAAATGCATATGTTTAAAAAATGTGGATTTTCCCCAAAAGCCTCTCACTCTCTCACTCTGTGGCTTTGGTAATTTTATATTGACTGTGGGTTTGGCAAAAGACAAAAAAGAGCAGAAAAGAGGCATAGGGGTGTGTATGTGTGGGGGGGGGGCTCATAGCTCATAGATTTTGCAAAGTTTTATTAGACGTATTTATTCATTTTAATGTTCGTATTATTTCAAGTCCTGTGAGTGCATGGAGAGGGACTAAAATTATTTCCAGCTGATTGATGGAGAGTCAGCTGAACTTTTGATCATTGTGTGCATTTTCAAGGTCGTCCTTATATTTGATTGACACAGAAATATTTTTCTATTTAAATAGACAACCGCATCTGTTAATTTGATCCAAATGAATCTATGCACATAGTCATCACAGTTTATATATTTATCCCTCAGTCAGTTTTGAAGTTTCTTTCTGGTCTTTTGACAGCTGTGTGTCCCAGAGCCTCCTCACATTAGATTGAATGTTTCCATGTATTAAATTATGGAAAGAAAATATAACACCCTGAAAACATTAATTTATTCAATATTTCATAAAGTATTTTTACTGTATGTTTTGTTCTTTTTCCAAATTCAGAAATTGAAGGGACTTTTTCTGTCAATAAAAACCCTGTGGCATTAAACTGCTGTAGACTGTTTTATTTCACGTGGTGTGATGGTGCTAATCACTCCCTAAAATAGAATCAGTCCATCAGAGACACAATCAAACACCCCTCCCTCTTAATCAGCAGCATGTTGGCAGTGAAAGTCAAACACCATTACTTCATCCCTCAAAGCTACCCAATTTTCTTTCTTCAGTTTCTTTCTTTTCTTTCTTTAGTTTATTTTTTCTTTACTTTCTTTCATTCTTTTCTTTTTCTTTCTTTCTTTGGCTTATTATTGATATAGGATTTAATAGTGGTACTCTGAATATTCTTTAAGATGTTGGGCTTCTGTATGATAAGTATTATGATCAGATGTGCGGACAGTACTTCAATTGTAGACAAAAGAGCAGAAGTGCAGCAAACATTTGCGGAAGTTTGCTTACAACAACAAATTTTTGATGCATGAACTGATGAAATGTAACAACCCAACATTAGTTCAAAACCATTTTGCATCTGTAGGTAGTTATTTTGTTTGCTGCTACACTAAAACAAAATGTTTTTGACTATGTGTAAGTATTTATTCAAAAAAAAGTAAGTAAAATGAAAAGGTTGTGAAATGTTTTCATCTGTTACATGTTTTCATCCAAGTGACTTTCAAAACTGATTTCAGTCCACTTCAGTGAGCCTAAAACTATACTTCATAGTAATTTGCTTGGGCAGCTCTATGTTAATGAATGTGCATGCTTTATTCTTGCAGGAAATGATACAACCGTGACAGCATATGGCAAAAAAACTGCCATTTGTTTTACTGTATAGCATAGCTTTTGTCTTTCATTAAGTGGTTTACAGTTCATTTCTTTGGAGCGGAAAGGACAAAAGAGAAATGTTTATGTCTATGGAGAATCGCTCTCAAACTGGATGTTTGTCTTGCTCAAAGACACTTCTGGTTCTTCTGATTGATGAACACTTCCTCTACCCACCAGTGAAATACATCTGTAGCTGTGTTCATTCTTTATACACAAGCCTGCTTGCTCTGTTGCACTATTGGTACAGGTAATTGAAACTTAAATATGCTCAGCTACCCTATCTGACAACCTCATGATCATGGATGGTATTTGCAGCACTTTGCAAGTGATGCTGATGCTGAGGTTGCTATCCAACTGTGGTGAATTTTGTACACCACAAATATAAGTCAGACCAGTTCTAAATTAAATGTCATCTTACTCACTGTACCCAAAACCAGCCAACCTATCAAAAAAACGTCATAACATCAGCGATTGTTAGTGATACGGGTGACTAAATGCTGCTGATGCATCGCACCCAAAAGTATCTGACCTACGTCACCCAGCTTGGTTTGTTAATGTTACGGTTAGTTGGTTGTTTACTCAACCTACCGTTAATCTAAAGCTCAGTGTATCAAATACCAGCAGAGCAGCTCAGCCCCTGCATGCCCCAGCCGCATACACAGGTTCACAAGTACAAAAACAGCCACCTCTGATGAATCATCATGCAAACAAGCAGAGCCACAAAAAATTTACAGTAAGTGTAACAAACCAGCCTGCAGATCATGAACGGTGGTGTAAACTGTTTACTGTGATGGGAAACTGAGCGCCCAGACCACAGCCGAGATTCAAAACTGTCTTAAAAACGTATGTTTAAAGATGTTTGTGTTTACACTGGGGAAAAAATAACATTTGATAGTGATAACTCAATTGCCCTTGTTTGAAACAAGTTAATAATTCAACCAATTTCACAGCCACTGGAGGAAAATTGGCTTCAGATGATTACCCTTAAATCTTGTAATGTCTCATAAAGCCTACGGCAAGAGGATTTAAATTAACTAATGAGAAAATACTGATTGATGGTGATTTTTAATTAGAAAAATAAATGAAATACAAGAATCTGGTGACAAAGTATGTACAATTTTATTACAAATATCCACAAACATGCAAAAAATATATATATATATAAAAAGTTGATACAAAAGTTGCATTGGTGCCAGTAAAAGATAGAAAACTGCTTGATATAAAAAGTGTGCAGACACAGAGTGAAAGTAAACCATTTTTTGCCTATTTCTTGACCCAGAAATAACAGGTAAGGAACTATGCAACAGTAGAGTGGCAGTTGGCGTGTCTCATATGCATATCTTTGGTGATAAACACACACACACACACACACACACACACGATGACCAAGAAGTGTCTTTGGTGCACCGTATGCATGAATGCTACAAGCTTAGTCACACCTCATGCACCACCGTCTTATCTCGTTGTACCAAGGCTTTGTCGGATTACTCACAGAGTCTGAGTACATCTGAGGCACTTTTCACGTTGACTACACTGCAGTCAGAAAGAGGAAGTTAAAAGCTGATGTATGTGTCCTGAGTCTTGACCCTCTCGTCACACCTCAACAGACAGCCCACAAGTGTGACACATTATTGTTCCATGGGTGTTAAATTAGGCTGTAGCACATGTAGATTATTACGAGAAATAGGAGGATATTTTAGCAATAAATGGAATAAAGCAGCTCTGTGTGATTATTACACAAACAGTGAGACAGTGCAAGTTTCCTCTGCTCCCTCAAAGAAAACAAAAAACTAAGTCTGACTTCATCTTTCGCCCCTTTAACCTCCCATCCAGAAATGCAGAAATAACTGTCCCCTAACCAGGCAAACAATTAAAAAGGTGCAGTCCTCTGCTTTTTGTTTAAGGAATAAAATAAATAAACAACCACTGTCCAGATCTTCCTCTCGCTCTACTGCTTGCTCTAAACTACTAAATAGATTGCTTATTAGTTAAAGCCACTGAGCACCATAGTTAACCTGAAGAGATGAGCTGATTATACCATGTGATTTCACAGCATGAATGATTAAAGTTCCGGCAGTGAATACTTTTATATATCCTCAATCCCTCACTGGCTTTAGGACAAAGTAATAGCTGCATGTGTGTATTTTCATTTAAAACATTTAACAAGTTATTGTTCATTTCTTAAAATAGAGGTAAAGATTTGTATCAAATAATACCACAGGATACTGAAAACTGAATGTTACTTGCAGAAGAATAAAGATACTAACTGAGCATCATGCAATTCTGTCTGCATTAGTAACATTTAATCTCTAACTTTGATGGCACGTTAAAGTAACTGTAGATGTCTTTTTCGTCCTTCAATCTATCCTACACACATTTCCTTCACGGCCTGGTTTCTCAACCAGTGTGCATCTGCTTGACAACAGTTGAAATGTTTCAAGCTGATTTAAAAACTCAACTGGATCCTGGATGTAAAAAAAATACCAAAGCCTCTTTCTTTATGGGTTGTACAACAGTCAGCAGCAGAAAGCATATAATAAGTGAGATTTCTGCGATGTCACATCTGGATATGTGACATGACCTCAGATGAGTCAACCCAAATGTTTTAGCTGTCCTCGTAAACAAAAACCAATTAAAAGAACAAAATAAATCAAACAAACACTAGGTACATCAAGTCTATTTTGCATGATAAAATACTGTACTTTGCATTATCACATATATTTTGTTTGTATGGCTTCATCCACTTTAAGGCCATCTATGCTTTGGCAGTTCTGTGCATGTTTTCATCTTGTAAAATGAGTGAAAAATCAGTGGCGCTGTTATATATATATATATATATGAGAGAAAAATGTATGAAAAATCTTAATATATATAGTATATGCATTGTATTGGCTTGTTGAAGTCACCTTAAGTTTTTATTCTTGGTAAATCTGTTAAATCCAGGCTCAGTTCACATTTGTCCAAGTCCCCGTTCTGGTCGTCAGTGTCTCGGACCCAGAACTGTCTCTCTGCATTGTCAATATGATTTCCGACATTGTAACCGTTTCTCTCATTTTGCACTCCATTGTCCCCTGTAGGTGATTCTTGGATACCTCCCAGCTTCTCTGCTGCCCCTGAAAAACTCAGATGTGCCTCCTCCACAGGACCATCCCTGACCCCTGTCTCTTTTTCCTCTTCATCCTTGAGGGCCTCTGCAGCTCCATCCAGACTGGAGTCACTGAGGAAGGAGTGCGGGGTTTGGGTATCCTCCAGTGACAGAGGGGTCTCATCAATGAGGCGGCCCCCAAGATTGTTGCCTGCCCCTGGAGTGAGAGGCATCTCCTCGTGGTCTTGGTCTGGATCCTGGTCTTTGCTGCAGTAAGCATAGCGGTGGTTCATGTGCTGGGAGTACGAGCCGGAGTGAGAGAAGCGTTTGCCGCACTTGTCACATTGGTAGGGTTTCTCTCCGGAGTGCAGCCGGCTGTGCTCAATCAGATGGTGCTTATGCTTGAAGGCCTTGTTGCAGATCTTGCACTCATGAGGGCGCTTGCCTGTAATGAGCAGAAATAAATTATTTCTCATGTAAATATAACAGCTCCTTTTTTCTTTTTTTCTTTTTTAAAGAAAATACATTTAAGACTTGAATGCAGTGGAACCTGTTGTAAGGTAATTAGGTATTTTTCTGTCATCTTTTTTGAAGAAATTGTTTCCCATTCAGGTATTTGTTCTATACAGTAAATATGAAGCCATAGCAGCACAAAGAATGGAAACTACCAGCCTACCAGCACTTCTAAAGCTCAGTGATTACTGTCTAATCTATCTAATCTAATTTATATGTCTACAAAAAATTTACAAAGTGTAAAAACAAAGAGCTGTGGTTTTATGTATGTGTTATGTGCCGATTCTTACAGTTTGTTTTTTGTGCAAATTGATCAAACAGGATGCAACGTGTGAATTAGTATGTTTACGAAGCACTGGCAAGTGAATTTTCTGACAGAGCCAGGCTCTCTATTTGCCCTTGTTTCCAGTCTTTAAGCTAATCCAAGCAAACTTGGCGGCCTGCGGTAGTTTCATATTTACCGTGCAAGATATCAAGCCCAAAATGTCAAACTATTTCTTTAGACATTTTGATCAATATTTTACTAAAGTGAGTTTTTACAATGCTTCTTTCCAACTCAGAACCCAAACCCACCTTTTTACCCCCCAATGTCTTTTTAAACCAATATTATAGTAATCCATAAACTATATGAAATGGCACATGCCTAAAGTATTGTTGCAGACTGCGTACAAACTACAGACCTGTGTGCTCGTATTTGTGTCGGAGCAGAGAGCTGCTCTTCTGAAAGGTTTTTTCACAGATGTCACAAGCGTAAAGCCCCTCATCTGTCTTCTTCAGTCTCTTCCTCCCTGGCCCTCCTTCTCCATCCAGTCCTTCATCCATGAGAGAGAGATAGTCCAGAGCTCCACGGCTTAACACCTCACCCTACAGAGAAAACATTTTTTTCATTATTATTTATCATTATTCTAAATGTAGACATTCTTACAGTTTTACTGCTTCTGCATTAATTGTGAGGCTGTTCTTCAGTAATTACACATAATTCTTTAAAACAAACCTTACTCACCATGAGAGCTTGCCTCTCCTGGCGGATCTTCTTCAGCGCCGCCTCTGCATCTGCCTCCATCATGTAAGCCATGGGAGAGAGAAACCCAGGGCTATTAGCTGGCTGGCCGAATGGCGGAATCGCTGTGATGCCATCAAGTCCTAAACCAGACTGGTTGAAGATAGGAAATCCATTGTATAAGGAACCTGGAAACACAGGAGCTCCGGCACCGCTGAAGACTGGGTGGTGGTGAAGGGATAGATGTGAAGTTGGACTTGGCCTCTTAAGCTGCTGGTTCCCGAGCTCTCTCCTCTCTCCTCTGGCTGAGTTGCCGTTTACAGTTTTGTTTCTCCCCTCCTGGTCTGAGAGCTGCTTGGGCAGGGAGAGATCCAGGGGTTCGCTCTGTGACCAGGGGCTGCCAGTCTGGTTCTGAGGGGAGGGGAGTTCGGGAGGACAGCTGGTGAGGTCAAGGCAGACTGGTGAACCGAAACCTGAAGAGGGAACTCTCCTTCTGGCTCGAGGTGATGACAGCTCTGGGGAGCGGTTGATTTGTTGGCTTGGACTTCCCTTTTCCTGGCCGGACCAGTACGCTCGTGAGGACAGGGCATCATGGTGTGGCTGTGGGGGAGAGTGCATTGCAACCAAAAGTTGCTGCGATACAGAGAACCAGCTGGGATTCTGTAAGGGTGATTTGCTTCCAGAGAGGCCATTGGTTACTTCGCTCTGTTTGCTGTTCTCCGGTTGGAGGGAAGATCTCGGGAAGAATAAAGGTGACGAGGGGTGGTCTTTGCCGCGAAGACCCTCGGGCACCTCCACTGCATCTCGGTTCATCTTACAGAGGTAGCGCTCGTGCTGCAGGAGCACCGCCACATTGGGGAAAAGCTGGGAGCACCAGCGGCATGTCACTCCAAGGACACCTCTCTCTCCCTCACCTGATCTCGCTGCCTCTCTTCTCCTGTCAGGCGACACCTTCCTGTCGGGCCCTCCTCCGTTGTAAATCACCCTCCTTTCCTCCACTGCAGCTCCTCCTCCTCCTTCTCTGTCCATCTCCTCGTCTTTCTTCACCTCCCTGTGAAGCATCTCCTGTAGCATCTGCTCAAACTTTGTCCCAGAGTGCAGATAAGGCAGCAGAGTGGTCCCTTTTAGTATACTGGTCCTCAGGGAGAGCTCTGCCGAGGGGTCCCAAAGCCGAGCCAGGTCTGAAGCTCTGGCGAAGCCTGTGGGATTGTGGTTGGGGTCCTGCAGTGAAAGCTGGTGAGGATCCTCTGTTACTCGACCCAGAGGCCTGGTATTATCTTGGGTCTGTGAAGTCATCGGAGAGCCCTTGTCGTTACTGTTTCTCCCCCCGCCTGCAGAGGGAGATGTTGGAAATGAGTGGTGGTATGTGCTTTGAGTATGTCCATTAAAAGCCCCGCTGGCTCCTCCTGTGCTTCCCCCTCCATTCCCTCCACCACTCAGGCACTTTTTGCTGCTTAAGTGGGAGCTGTAGGAGCCCGAGTGAGAGAAACGTTTCTTGCAGTTGGAGCACTCATAAGGTTTTTCACCTAAAGGATGACACACAGACAGGATGTATTCGTCAAAAGTTGCTGAGAGTTGGTTGAAAATCCCCTCAACTTGGGTGTGATTGTTTCACAATTTTCATAACTCACTTGCCTTGTCACAAATTATTTTTACTTGTTTTCTGTCAACACATCAAATTAAGTATAATTTCATACCATATAAATGGTGCAATAAGTAAGGGTTACGGATATAGAGGAAACAATAGCAAATTGATGGGTGAGTACATCTGTTTTGATGTTATTTTGTCTCACCGCTGTGGATGCGGAGATGCTCTTTGAGGTGGTGTTTGTACTTGAACGCTTTCCCACACTGCAGACATTTGAACTTCCTGGTCTCCATGGCTTGATCCAAAGCACACTAGGACAATAGGACATTGTTATTAGTTTTATAATTTTATATAGGGACAAATCTCGGGGTGTGAAGATGTAAGATTATATCTTTATATTATAATAAATATCCTTGTAGCACAAAATAAGCATATCATACAATATACTTTTGTTTTGGCCTCATTGCAGTGAACGTTTCTCCTGCTGTCTGTGTGTTTCTCACCTTCTCCTGCATTTGGTTGTGAAGTGCCAGATGCCGCTCCATCTGTGCCCTATGGGTGGCAGTGTATCCACAGAGCGGACATGCCATATGGGCCCCCTCCCTCTCCTGGCAGTACTTGATGTGGTCCCTAAAAGAAGCTCCTCGCTGATACATCCTGTGGCAGAATGGACAGGCCTGATGGGTCCTTCCTGCATCTGGAGTCCACAAAGAGATGACATTTTAAATAGACTGTTTTTTTTGTACAAATTCATCAAATATAGCCATCCATCCAATCAGTCTTCCATTCATTTTATAAACTGCTTATCCTGTTTAAGGTTTAAGATCGCCAGCATATCACACACATATAAGGCGGCACCCACATTCACTCACATTCCTTAAATACTAAACATTCGTACTACTTAAATATAGCTGCCGTAAACTTTATTCATAAAGAAGATCCTCTGGGAACAATGCTTAGACCCTATATTAAAGCTCTTTTGAGAATTATATTTACATTTAAGTTCTGCCTATTATCACACGTTGCCTATTGAACTGGATGAATGAAGTCATACGCCACCCAAACAGCACCTGTGCTCATGCAACACGTTGTACAGAAAAAAAGACATGTATGGCCTCAGACTCAGAGTAAAATTTAAGTAAAACTCAAATAGTCTTAGTTCACTATTTATAGCTACAGACAAAAAAGCAAAATTTCCTAAAAATACTGGAACATGAGCATGTTGTTTAGTAATTGTATTTGTGTCGTAGGAGTTGTATTTTATATGAACTATTGCCTGAACCTAATGTTTTTATTGTTATTCCTCTACGTTTATACCATGAAATTTAATTTGTCAAACCCTGAAGATGAACAGTCAGTAGTGAACAATTAGTGGTTGATAAGCTGATATGATCCCCCTACAATTTCTAAGAATAACGTTGGCAAACAACAATCTGATATGTGCTGTATCACTGCTATTTACTATCAGCCTCCAGAACTAACACAACACAACTCACTGTCAGGAGTTTAGTATCATTGCAGCCATCATTGTTATCCTACCTGATCCCTCAGGTGAACGGTGCTGAGCTCCTGGCGACCAAATGGCAGGTGGCAGCTCATCGTGCCTGCCGCCCGGGTGGTACGCAACTGCTGTGCCATTGTGGTTCAGATGGTCCAAGAGACTGGCTGAGGTAGAAGTCTTCCTCAGGTGGGCCAGAAATTCATAGTGGGCCAGGTCCTCGAAGGCATTCTGGGAGTCTGAGTTCTTACCTGAGGTCAGAGACAAAGTTACAGAGGAATTGAAATATCCATAAAAGGAAATATGATTATTTTTAGCAGGATCTTACATTTTTATACATAATTCTGATACTTGGACACATTCAGCCTTCTTAGTGACATTTGCGGGGAGATATGATTATATGATATTTAATGAGTAAAGTCTTACTGAATTAAAAATCCTACTAGAGAAGTCAGCATAAAAGCAGTTAAGAAGAAGGGCCACAAACTGCACAAAAGAGCATAAACAATCTCATGTTATTGTGCAGATTAATATATGCCGTTCCTTTGTGACCTCCCCTAGAACTGGTTTGTCTAATAGCATTTTTAAAGGTGGTCAGTACTCTTGTCAGTGGGTGCACAATTACTGATGTTACACTTTCATGTACTATGTGTAAAATCACATTCTTGAAACAAGGTTTTGCTCTCTGGCTTTGTGTGAATGTACATGCTTTGTTCATAAATCCATGTGTGTAAATGTGTGTGCAGAGGAAGTGGGAATAAACTGATAAAGTGACACTGTGCAGCTGAATCTAATGGAACCAAATTGTTTACTTGAAGACTGACAGATAAAACAATACATTCAGGGAACTAGTTGGCCAGATATGAAACTAGATTTGAAGAATTCTTTCTTGTTCGTGCCCTTGAGTGCATTGACAGGCAGGCAGCGAGAGAAAGCCATGAGAAGAAGAGAGGGCGCCTCCTATCACGAATCAAGTCAGCTTGCAGCGACTTTGAGGAAGATTTTTCAAATGTTTGCAGATGTTGGCATATTTTGAGCTGTTTTTTATGTGGTGAAGGGAAGAGCCTGTGCGGTTCAGTGTTGTAAAAACTCAGCTTTGCCTTCATCAGGCAAGCCCAAATCACACGAGGCGAGGGAGCTAAGTGATTGTTAGTAGGCAAGCCGCGTGAGCCTTTGATCTCTCCTAAATAAAAGGGAAAGCCTCACGTCGCGCAGTGCTGATTTCAGTACCGTAACGTCACCTCTTTGATGCATGGAAATATTGTGACATTGTGTGGGATGAGTTCTTTTGTCATGCTTTCAGAAGGCTGCCTTTTCAAAGAGAAGAGTGAAAAAAAGGAACAGCTTGTAGGGAAGGCATGGTTTCACAAGGAGCTGATATGAAGGTGTATCTAGAGGGCTCTGAGAAGCATCATGAGACTGAGTCTTGCATCAGAAAAACACTGTAAACTTGTTTACACGTACAGTACGGCCCTACACAGCAGTCTCATGCCATGTATATATTACATTTTACATAGCTTTGCTACTTTCTTGGCCAGGCCTTGATTTGTCAGAAAGAAATGCAAGGGTATTTTATAGTTCAAAAAAATTACGTCTTATCTTAAAATAACAAAAGATTTACAGGTTTTGTAACAAACTAGTGCTATACATTAATTTATTATTAATTTATAACTTACAGTACATCCTCAATGGTTCCTGATCTCCCTCCCTGTCAGCGGCAGACGCGATGGCGGCGTCCTCCGCGGCCTCGACCTCTGGCTCCACCTGCCCCCAATAGTTCCTGCTGCCGGGGCTAAGGCTGTGCGGCCGCGTGGAGCGAGCAGGGCTGCCAGGCTCCTCTGTCCCCTCACTAGGCGTCAGGCTTGTCTTGTCCAGGCTCTCCTGGCAGTCCTGGGGCTCCAGGCTCCACAGGCCAACCTCATCCTCCCCCTCAGATCCCAGTGAACTCACTTGCTCAGCATCCACTGTGAGGATAGCAAAAGAAACAACAAAATTTAAGAGGGACACAGAAGAGTCCGGCTCAGGCTGACGGGTGTCGTTTAAATGCCATGTAGCAAACAGACAGTATGCTCATTAGGGATGTATGATTTTTCAACACTATATTGTATTTTTAAACATGTTAAAAATCAAAGCATGAACATGTGTCCTTAATCTATATGGAATGAGATGCCAATATTTATTTTGTGGGGTTTAAACAGACAGTATATTTATTATTTTTATATTTGATTCAAATTGCAATAGACATGTGTTTCTTATCATTTCAGATGGCAAGTAGGTGGTTGAGCTGTAGATTATGATCAAAACAAACCAGACACAATGCATGTGCATGCACATCATTTTAAAGAATATGTCAGGAACTGAAACAGAAGGGGGGAAAACCCAACCAGAAATTCAAAAACTGTTTTGTAAATGTATATCTTAAATGTTTATTAAAGTCAAAAGAACAACTATGTTATTACTTGTTTTACTTTTTATATTCATTTTTAATTCAGTTTTGCTCCGCTGTGAGCAATACAAATGAAACTGTCTTCATGTGAAGTTGTTAAATGTGTTCCTTATCACAAAATGTTCTAACATGAATGATAAACTTATCAAAACAAAGTTACAAAGTGCTTAAAGAGATAAAAATGAAATAATACCAAAATGAATGATAAAATATAAGTGCAAACTTAAAAAAAAGACAATAAAGACAAGAAATAAAATAAAAAAACAATAAAAGGAACAGCTGAGATCAAATCCGGATATGCTTTCCGATAAAAGTACATTTTTATTAGAGACTTAAGACAAGGCACTGACTCAGACAGCCTAATTTCCTCAGGCAGGTCATTCCAGAGCCTCGGGGCCCTGATGGCAAAACCTTTTAGTTTTCAACCTGGACTCCAGAAGAGACAAAAGACCACTGCTCGAGAATCTCAAACTATGCAAAGGTTCATAAGAGATTAAAAAAATATAATCTGGAGCCAGGCCATGAAGAGCCAGAAATAAACAGGGAGCCAAACCAGGTGTGATCATACCTCTTGGTTCTGGTTAAAAATCTAGCAGCTGAGTTCTGCACAGTCTGTAGTCATTTTAAAGTTACATGACTACATGGCTTTGTGCGGTATGATGTGCAGATTATCTGTGGATTATTATCAATACAAGCAGACACAGCATGCAACACACATTTGTGCAAAGCAGATCCAGAACTTTAAAGGACGGAGCCCAACTACCATATTTCTCCACAATATAAAACTTCAGACACAGAAATATAAAGTATTAATAGTCATTTCTCATTAATTTCAGTGTGATTTCTAAAGAGATGGTTTTACTCTGACGGTACTGAGAGTGAAATGTGGCTTTCATTTTAAAACTGAAAATGAATAAAAAATGGACAAAATAATATTAAAAAATATATGCATTTAATTAAGGTCGTGACAAAAAAAGACTTTTATTGACTTGGTGACTAAACTTCAATCCAATAAATGACAGCTTGTTTTAATGTTGGTATTACCCGTGTAATTAGAACATTTAATGTTTGACATTTTCAGAATTAAATTCTTCATTTTTTGTTTGTATCACATGTAAATTGTTATTTTGAACTAAAACAGTTATATAGTGTAATTACTGTAGAAAAATCTGATTTTATGTCTAAATTCATATTTTTTTAGCACACGTACAGAATGTGACTCGTGATGTGGCAGGGATATAGTGCATCTGTAAGACGAAAAGATAAATAACATATTGTAATTTAAAAGTGTACCCTCGGTGCCCAGGCTGCAGCAAAACTGGGAAGGCGCATTACATTTTCCCATGGCAAAGACAATAAATGACAATCACAAACACATGCCTGGGATTTCAGCTGTAGGCTCTTATTTCCAAGGCTTTTTTTGAGGACTCTCTGTTTTCCTCTCACTGATTGGCAATATCTAATCACAACCAAGTAATGACCATTTAAGAACACAAATAGACTGCTTGCCAGTACCTTTGAAATATCATCAGAAAAAGACAAACCACTTTCGAAGAGGGGTAGGGGGCATGAACTGTGCCAACATACAGAGGACCAATTCTGTGTTATTGTGAAAATGAGGTTTCTGATCACTATCTGATGAAGTTTGCAGTGCAACACTGTCATGCTTCTTATTAGTTTTGAATAAATTGTCCTCTTTGGCCTTCAGAGTCTTGGGCCTCTTTTCATCAGATCAGAGTGAAAATAATGTTTCGCAGCTCATTACATTTCACCAAACACAAACAAAGTTTATTCATTAAACTGTCAAAACAACTCTCAGTCACTCTCGAAAGATTTTAATTTCTGTTTGAGCCGTTCCAAATACACCCTTACTGGCTGGTAGGCATAATAATTGATGAGTACTTTGCTCCTCAACACATTCAGTTACACCCCACAGCTCAGTGACAAAGCCAAAAGACTGCGCAATGCAGGAGACATTTTAGCAAATCTACCTTGTCAACTTTACATCTACACACACGCACACAGATAACACACACACTCACTCTGTTACTGGAAGAGCAAAAGGGAGGCCAGTGCTGCTGGTGGTGGAGGGGGGGGGGGGGTTGGCCCGCAATCACAAACATGCTTAAAACACTTGCGTGCTTGTGCAATTTACACACATTCCTCTAATGAGTATATTTGCTAATCTTAAAATGTAACACCTACATGTGTATCTGTATGTATCATCAAATTGTGTGTCCTGCCCCAGCTCCATTATACCCCTGTGAAAATGTAAAACAGTGATTCACCCGAGGCTAGTCACCCATGAGCCTCTGCTCCATGCAGTGCACACGGGGAGGAATGACTCGCTCTTATGGGGGGTGAAATTGGTCATCAAATGTGCTTCCCTACACCAGACAGCTATGAAGTTATATGATGTAGTTGAGGTCGACCTATCAGCCCTACAGCAGTTTCCTGGGATGTTAGGACATACCGCTGGGCCCAAAAAGAGCAAAATCTGGTCCGGATTAGCATCAAATTGGCTCTAATTTTCCCTCCCATGACATTGAGTGACACTGAGCCTATATGTGCTGTCATTAAAGCGGCACCGCGCTGGGATGGCTTTCATTATCGGGCCCGTTGATTTATTTATTTGGATAGCGATTGCATCCTTCAAATAGGTCTTTTTTTTGTTAGAGGAGGACAGCTAAATCTTTGAACAGCGCAGGAGGTTTGGGATTGCCTGCAAGTGCAGATTGTGTGTCAAGGTACAAAAGACTTTAAGAGAGATGAATTCATGCAATGTGAATGAGTTTTAAGAATGTGTAATTTGTTGGAATATACTTAACACAAAATAACAGCACAGCACTGTAGAAAACGGTCCAATGCTATTGTGCATGCACTGTAGAGTGTGTGGGAAGAACATGACTCATATCCAGACAGAGCTAACCGAACTGTGCTGCATCATGCTTGACAATGTCGATCACTTGGGCTTCTGGGGACTCTTTCTCTTACTTTCTGAGGGTTTGACAACAACAGTGTGTTCAGATCAAACACTGCAGCACTATTTTAATCTGTCTGTCGCTTTCCCTCCGTGACAGTGAGGGAAAGCGACATATCTGACAGAATGACGGTCTGAAACCAAAAAAATGATGACCTGCAGTAGTTCTTTTATTACGTACATAGTAAGTTTTCCAAAGACAGACAGAGGCCGAATATATTCATAAGCAGACGTGTGTGTGACATGGAAACACTGAATTTTTACACAGCCACATTAAAATGTAAACCACACCAAAGATTTTTTTTTAAAGTTACATAAGATAAGAAAAACAATCATCTCAACATGTCCTTTGCACTGCCTCACAACAGCACAGAGATAGTTTCATTTAATGCTGCACTGTTTATATCCCAGAGGGCATCTACTGTACAGAAAACACGCTAAACTGCAGTTTATTTTACGATGCACACATGTGATCTGGTACTAACTTAGTAATTATGTGGCTAAATGGTAAGCACGCAATAATTACCTAGAAATTACCTTGTTTGTTTCTTTTGGTTTTAAACGGTAACAAACAAGGCCAGGCCCAATTTACCGCACAATGTAACTGTTACCGTTCTGTTGATTTTTACAATTCAAGATTGTTACATAAAAGCCAGAATAACAGTAATATATGTTCAAATTAATTCTATTTAATAGATTTTCATTTCTCACATGAGAGAACAGCTACCCAAAAAAATTACTTTTCAAATATAAGTTTTCAAGACATTTTTGGTAACTAGCAGAAATACATTTTGAACACCCAAACTGAGCACAAAAAGAAGTATTTCTGGTGCACATGTGTTATAAATACTGAATACTGAGTTAAATGTGTCAGAAAAGTAGTTTTTATGATATACCCAAATTTTGATCTATTAAACCCACACCATATGTACACCATTAAAATTACCTTTAAATATATGTACAAGTGAAATCAAATCAAGTATAGTGCATATTTTAGTTTAGTTTTAGATTTATTTATTTTCTAATCCCTTTTAAAATGTTTATATCAAGTCACTTAATATCAATCAAGAGTTCTCCAACAACCCAGAATAAATTAACTCCTTGTCACTCTTCTTATGACATAATGTGCTCATGCCAAGTAACATCTAATTTCATATAGTCCAAAATGTAGCTAGTACAACTGTCAGAAACAAGTTCACTGAAGCATACATAACAACTGACTGATACATCATATTTTTGTAAGAGACTGCTTTTGATATCAAAAATACATTTTAAATATATTTTCAAAATCATTTTGTTTTAGTTAAAGTATGAAATAATGCTTCTTCCATGCTGTTAAAACTCTGATGGTTTCACACTTGTCAAAAGAGCAACACTTGCTATTTTGAACTCAATAAATTACCACATGAGGGTCACCGACGCCCACACACTAAACAAAAAAAGCAAACGCAGGAAGATTGTCATTTTACAGTACCTATGAGAGCAGTTCAGAAGCAAAGTATATCCGTATTCATTTGCAGGGCGCACTCATGTTGACA